ATATTATAATAAATTTATTTATATATATATATATATATATATATATATATAGTATAAACAACTACACATTTATGGATAATTTCAAAAATTTTCATGAAAATTATTATTTAGTCAAAAAAATTGTTTGTTTGTTTGTTTGTTAAGATTATTAATTTTGTTTATTACTAATAAAATCAATATGAATAATTAATTAAAATTAAATTAATATTGACATCAACAATTACAAAAATTAAATTTTTTTTTTTAAAAACAAAATTATCTAATTATCTTATTTATATAGCAATAATAAAAGTGTTTTTTTATATATATTACTTTGTGGTATACAATAGATGTATAGAGAAAAAAAATTTTATCTGACAAATTTATTATTATTTTATTTTATTTTTTTGGCAAATAAATTGATATATATATATATATTAGCTATATATTAGATAAATAAATTTGTGGTCCCAAATTGGGGGCATACAATAAAAACCATTAAAGAGAGATCTATAGAGAGAGAGAGAGAGAGAAAAAAGAGAGAGAGAGAGAGAGAGAAAGAAAGAAAGAAAGAAAGAAAGAGAGAGAGAGAGAGAGAGAGAGAGAGAGAGAACTGTATAAGCATTTAGCTAATGAAATGTGAAATTTGAAGAAAAGTTGGTTTTCTTTTTATATAAAAAAATTTTTTTTTTCATATATTATATATATATTTGAAGTCCGGTATTGAAAACACAAAGCAGACACACATATAATAATAAATATATATATAATATTTTATTGACTTTTATTTTATTTTTTTATTTTCAACAGAGAATATATAGAGAGAGAGTCTCCGTAATGATTGTGTTCAGAGTTGTCCCACTTTTTTCTTCATATATATCTCCCATTCCCCCCTCCCTTCCCTCCCCTCTCACCTACTCCTCACACACTCAGTCCCAGTGCCACTCACTCTCTTGGCCCAAACTGGGCTTTTTTTTGGGGACTATTACCCTCTTTTTTTCTTCCTTTAGTTCAAAAAAAGGGAAAGGGAGTCTAAAGCAGCACTTATACCATATATATATAAGTTTATAGTTAGTGATAGAGAGAGAGAGAGAGAGAGAGAGAGAGAGAGAGAGAGAGATTGCCGTAATTTTCCCAGAATTTTATGCTTCACATAGACTGGACTGACTGACTGACTGACTATTTGCTGACTACTTAAACATAACTATACTGTATATACATATACTATATATATATATATATATGTGATATGAATATTATCTATCGTTTTTCATTTTACTTTTCAAAACTGACATTTCTTGGAAAAATCATGTGAAGTGATGCCAACAAAAAGTTGGTCAAACACTACACACACACACACACACACTGAGAGCCGGACCCATAAAACATATTAAAACCCATATATTTATTATACTGTATATACAGTATATATATGCAAACAAAGCAAATGTATTGGCAATTATGCTGAGCTCTCTCTCTCTCTCTCTCTCTCTCTCTCTCTCTCTCTCTCTCTTCAAATAACTAAGTGTTTAAATCATGTGTTTGTTAATTGCATCTTAAAAAGTGTAGGTTTTTTGGTTGTGTTTTAGTTGTAATAATAATTTATTTGTTTCTTCAACAAAAAAAAATTTAATTTTCAAAATAAAAAATTATTTTTCTCGATAATTGCCCACAACTTACTACTCCTCTAACAGTAATATTATTTTAACGCAAAACTTATATTACTTATATAATAGTCAACTGTATATATATATACAGTATATACTGTTAATAATAATAAATTAAAAAATAATTATTTCTTAAAAATATATATATATATATTCAATATATTATATTTCTATTTAATTTAGATGATCATTTTTAATTAGCTTTAATTATAATGTATTACCAGTTATTACTAAAAATAGTTTTTTCCCTTTAAAAAAATAAATTTATAAAGTTATAACTTTTTTTTAGTAGTAATTTTTTATTTTATTTAAAAAAATTAAGTAATAAATTATCATCATGTAATTTATCAGTATAAATAAATGTGTGTGTGTGTGTGTGTGTGTTTTACAGCCTTAACCTTGATAATTATAAACATGTTTAATAGTTATTTATATTATATATATATATTTAAAAAAAAGTACAGTACTGTATAAATATTAATATAATATAATATTATATATGATATATACTGTATATATATATATATTTACTGTAAATTTACAATATTAGTATAGACTAGAAAAAAAATAAAATAAAAATTTAAAAGTTACTTAACTATTATGGATATATTAGGTATAATAAAATTAATGTGTAATGTGTAATACGTAATAAAAAACTAAATTGTCTAGGTAGAAAAATATTTTAAAAATTGTTGTTAACTAGCTATATATATATACCATAAAATTAATTGTCTGTATTGTATAAGTTTTAAAAATGTTTTTTTTGTTGTAAAAACTAAAACTCAATAAAACATTTAAAATTCCTATTGTATTGTAAAATAGTGTAAATTTTTATTATTATTATTATTATTATTATCTAGGTGATGTCTGGATGATTGTTTGTTTTTTGTTGTTGTTGTTATTATTATGTCCCGTCACAATATAACAATAATTTTTATGACCCCTCGTCCACCCCTACCCACCCAACCCCCAGTTAACGATTAACATGACTATTCAAAATATAACGATAGTGTTTTTTTTAAAAAAAAACTATACATATCATATATAGTATATATAATATAGTTTTTACTTTTTTTATTTGATGTAGACCGCTTATTTTTATTTTTTTAAAAAATAAATCCACATGTTGCACAAAATTTAATGTGTATGTATGTGTGTGTGTGTGTGTGTGTGTGTGTGTGTGTGTGTATGTGTGTATATATATGTGTTGTTATGTGTGTGTATTTGTGTGTGTATGATTGTGTGTGTGTGTGTGTGTGGATGTGTGTGTGCATGTGTGTGTGTATGTATGTATGTGTGTGTATATATAAAATTATGTTAGATTTTTTTTTGTAGATATTTACTTATTAAATAAATTTATCTAATATTTTTAATATTATTTATTAATTATAGATACTTTATTTATATAGACTATAATATTGACTAGAGTATAATATCAATATATATACATACTATATATATATATATATTGTATTAATTATATTTCTATATTTCACAATTAATAAAAACACATTGGTTTTTAATTGTATTAGCAAAATTAACATTTTAGTTATTATACACATGTTAGTAATTATTATAAATATTATTATTATTAGTAATAATAATAATAATAACTAAATTACTACCAAACTTACTTTCATTAAATAAATATATAATTATTTCTATATATTGAATATTTTATTTGTAATATATATATAAATGTTTAATAAAATGTTTTTGGTTTTGTTTTTGTTTATTGTTAGACATTAGAGAAAAAACTTTTGATTTATTATTATCATTGATATAATACAGTATATATATAAATAAAAAAAAATTCTCTCTCTCTCTCTCTCTCTCTCTCTCTCTCTCTCTCTCTCTCTCTCTCTCTCTCTCTCGTTAATGTTTATAGCATATGACATGTTTTTATTTTAGTAAAAAATATGTTTATTAAACAATTTTAAATTGATTTTGTTTTCAATATACTATTGAAAATTTTATCTATAAAATTTGAATTGAATTAGTGTATATACACAATAGTAATATAACTAAGATATAACAATAATTTATAATAAACTATAGCATTAAAACAATTAATTGTATTTAAATATATATATATATAATTTGTTTTAATTAAACAAATTTTTTATACAAGTAAAATATTAATATTAATTAATTTCAAACCAAAACAATAATTATTGTATAGAAATAGCAAATTTTTGTTTAAATAAAAAAACTTAAAAAATATTTATAAATATAAATTAATTTGTTATATATATAAATTTAATGTATATTTTATATAATAATTACATTTGAAAATAATAATTATTTGTTTTAAATAAAAAATTATTTACAATTTATTATTTGTCTTAAAAACTTAAATATTTAATAAATAAAATTTTATATTATATAGAATTAATTAAAAATATAAAAAATGTTAAATAATAATAACTATTAAAATATTATTATAATTAGTTATTAGAAATTATTATAAATTCAGATAAATAAATAAATTTATTTTTTTTAAAAATCTGAGAAATTTTACAATAAAAAAGTTGTTTTAAAATATTTTAGTAATAAATTAATAAAAAAAATTATTATATTTAGTAATTTTTTAATTTATTTAAAATTATAATCTAATAGACAATAAAAAAATTTATTAATTTATTTTATATAAATAAACCCAAACCGACAATCAATTAAAACCAAAACCGAAACTATTTTATATTATAAATATACACACATTTGTATTTAACAAACAATTGAATGATGAAATCAAATATATATTACAAGTATTAATATTATACATAACTTTTTAATACTAACCTAACGGCACATGTGTTGCCCTCTCTCTCTCTCTCTCTTTATTTTTCTCTCTCTCTCTCTCTTTATTTCTCTCTCTCTCTCTCTCTCTCTCTTTATYTCTCTCTCTCTCTCTTTATTTCTCTCTCTCTCTCTCTCTCTCTTTATTTCTCTCTCTCTTCTCTCTCTCTTTATTTTTTTTTCTCTCTCTCTCTTTATTTCTCTCTCTCTCTCTCTCTCTTTATTTCTCTCTCTCTCTTTATTTCTCTCTCTCTCTCTCTCTCTCTCTCTCTCTCTCTCTCTCTCTTTATTTCTCTCTCTCTCTCTCTCTCTCTCTTCTCTCTCTCTCTCTCTCTCTCTCTCTCTCTCTCTCTCTCTCTTTATTTCTCTCTCTCTCTTCTCTCTCTCTTTATTTCTCTCTCTTTATTTCTCTCTCTCTCTCTCTCTCTCTCTCTCTTTCTCTCTCTCTCTCTCTTTATTTCTCTCTCTCTCTCTCTCTCTCTCTCTWTCTCTCTCTCTCTCTCTTTATCTCTCTCTCTCTCTTTCAATCTCTCTCTCTCTCTCTAACTCACTCTTAACGTAACGTTGTATAAGTACGGGTCGTTTTTTTTTTAGTTGACAACATTTTGTGTTTGTATTTATTATTTGCTATTAAATTGTGTTTTCCATTGGATTCGCCATTCAATCCAATTATTGGCTGTTTTTTTAGTGACCACCGATAGTGACTGACTGTCCGACAGTTTATATACACAAACACATAACGTTTAGTAGTTGTTTGACCACTAATGATGGCCACCACTAATAATGGCCAGTCGTCGTCGTCCGCCACAACACTGGTGACCACTACTACTACCGCCGATGTCATCGACGGACAACCAGAACCCGTACTCCGATTGACATTTCAAGGCAATGTCCAAACTGATCGGACAACGGCCGCCACCGGCACCGCCTCCTCGTCCTCCAACTCCCGACGGGTTATGTTTGCCGCCGAAACGGTCGACAACGAACATCTGAACCGCAAGAAGTCCAAGTGTTGCTGTATTTATGAGAAGCAGCGGCTGTTCGGCGATAGCAGTAGTAGTAGTAGTAGTGATGACGACTCGGATGACGGCCGCGGAGGCGGTGATGACTGTTGTCGCGAGAGTGACCACTGTTACGGACACAAGAGGCGACCGCCGCTGCAGCCGATTGGTACACATAGACCGTCACCGACAACACAGAGCGGTAAAAATGGTGACCAGAATTTGGCCGGAGGTAGTGGTGGCGGCGGCGGTTCCAGCGTGTGATTGATTGGACACCAAATAATAATCATTTATTTCATTAATATGTTATACAATTGTTTTTACTTTAATTTATTATTGTTATTGTAATTAATTATATTAAAAAAAATATATATAATAATTATTAAACCAAAAAAAAAATGTTAATTAAAAAATTAATTAATTAATTATATAATTAGTTTATAATAATAATTGTTTTTTTTTAATTTGTTAATTGTTATGTTATTATATGTATACTATAGTTATTATATATTAGTAGTTAAGTTAGTTAGTTGTATGTGTTGTATAAAATGTATAAAAAAATACACACACACAAAAAAGTATCAACTGGTTCCGCCCGGGATCGAACCGGGGACCTTTTGCGTGTAAAGCAAACGTGATAACCACTACACCACGGAACCTGTATATAAACCAAATGAGTGAATTATATAATAGATTAATACATTAACTATATATATATTAATTATAAAAAATTAGCAAGTATAATTTATTTGCAATTTACTGTATTTTATTACAAATAATAATTTTTTAAAAAACAAAAATTGTATTTATAAATTATAGTTATTAAATATTATTATTATTTTTATTATAATCATTTTTTTAGATTCATATTGAATATGGTATATAAGTTATATATAAAAAACAATCCGGATCATTTTTGTTTGTATTAATAATAATAATTAATAGAAAATTTTTTTAATAACTATTGTTTAATATATATATATATATATATTTAAATAGTTATATTCAATGAAATTTTAAATAAAACTAAATTATTTTTGTTTAAAACAAATTTTTTCAATTAGTTTTTTTTATCAATCAATAAATCGGACAAAAATTTATTGTTTTTTTTTGAAATTAATGAAAAAACAAAAATAATAATTAAAAAAAAACTTTTTATTATAATTTGTTTGTCTAATAATAATAACTGATTTTTGTTTTGTTTTTCTTCATTTTGCACCAAAAAAAATGTCTTCAAATATATTTATTTTTGAAATAAATTTCTCTAATTTTTTTTTGAATTAAAAAAAATTGCTTCAAATGTTTTCATTCAATTACAGTTCAATTATATATATATATATAATTAAGATATATATCGTCTATCACTATCAATATACAAAAAAAATTATACTCAAAAAAATTTTGTCAATAACTCTCTCTCTCTCTCTTTAATTAATTAACTAATCTGTCTTTCGGTTTAATTAATAATAATAATTATTATTTTTTAAAAATAAAATGAAAACATTTGTCGTCAAAAAAAATGTATGTTTATGTGTGTGTGTGTGTGTGTGTGTATTATCTCTCTCTCTCTCTCCCTAACTGTATGTGCGGTTTGCAGACACGCACACACAGAATAGAGTCGGATATATATATATAAATATATATATCTTGTGTTAGCCTTTGTTATTGAACGGCGGTTTGTCCGTCGGCTGAACCGCTGAATTGGTGGCGCTTTTGTTGACCGTTGACGACTGCGACGGCGGCGATGTCGGTCCCGATGCGGCCGTTGCGTTGACAGTTTGGCCACCACTGCTTGTTGTTGTTGTCGTCGGTTGCTGTTTGGCGGCTACCGTCGCGTTCAGCTTCTGATCGTTCCAGAACTTCTCGACCTGTTTAGTGATTTTTTAATTTTTTTTTAACGGAAATATTTATAAAACCAATTAACCAATCAATCAAGTTATCAGCCAATTGTATCTCTACCGACAATCAGGCCAAACAATTTTCGTGGTTTTTATTTAAATTTATTAATCTATTATTAATTACCAATCGCTTTGTAAAATTCAACGATGTTTGCGGTCCATTGCCACGCGATTTGAGTTGCGTACAGTTGTCCACTTTATACGGCGAAACAATGCGGACACTGTGGTCGACGATAATGTTGTCGCCGTCCCAACTGATGACCACATCTCTGCTCATACTGTTGTTGTTGTTTTTGGACAGTTTTGATGGCCAGAAGACATCGGAGGTGAACAAACATACAAATTAATACAACAAAAAAAAAGATCAGTCAATAACAATAACAACAACAGTTGGCCGGCCGTACGTTTTGGTCAACTGTAGCCACAGTTTGATTCCGTCGGCACTGGCGCCGGCTTTAAACGCATCGGTCAGTCGTCTTCGTTCATCGATAGCCCGTCGACAGCGGTCATCGACCTATATTTACACCAACAACAAAAAAATGTCCAAACAATTAGATCCTCTCTCTCTCTCTCTCTCTCTCTCTCTAAGAGTAATTGACTATCAATTGAATTATCAAACCTTTGATGTGTTAATCTGCGGCAACTGTGTGTTGACCACATCCTCGCGTTTTACTTCATTCTTGACGGTCACATCTTTAACCGATTCCAGATTCAGACAGTGAATGTCATTGTGATTGACATTGCCGTCGGTACTGTTGGACTCTATATATATAGTGGTAAACAATAGATTTAAAATTAATTAGATTTTACGGTTAAATCACATAATAAATAACAAATAAGTCATAATACTTAAGATCAGCAAACGTTTAGTGTAATCAAACGCTATGACCTCTCCGTCGACCCGTTGATCATAACAGGTAAGACACGAGACGATACTGCCGACGGTAAACATACAGTCAGTGATATCTTCGGCAGCGGTTGGATTGGTAATGGCGGCGGCAGTCGTGATGGTGGCGGCGGCGACGGCGGCGGCGTTGTTCGTGCTATTGTTGGCCATCATATCATTGCCAATCAATTTCATTGGTGATGACGATGACAACGACAACAACAACAGCACATTCACGGTTAAGAAGACGAGATGACAATCACTTTATATTTTTTTGTTTTTAATGACAATAATGACAACAACAACGACAACAACGACAACAACAAGACATACAATTAGATGGCGGATCTCTTTGACGGATGATTTTGATGGATGACAACAAACAGATACACGTGTTGGCCAATCGCGGTCAGTGAGTGAGTGAGTGAGTGAGTGAGTCAATCAATCGACGGGTCAGTGATGGCCACTACTAAACATCGGGTGTGTTGTTGTTGTCGATTGAGATTTTTTTTTTTTGGGATCAATTGATGTGACAATTGGTGGTTATAATCATCACAACTATATAGTAGACGATTGTTAAGTAAGTGATAATTGAAATAAAAATTTCAATTATTATTATTATTATTAATTCACTATTTTTTTTAGATAAAACTAATCAATTGATTGATTGATTAGTTTTTTTTATTAATTATTATTATTATTATTATTATTAATTAATTAAATATTATTTTAATAATAAAATAATTTATTTTTTGTTGATTTGATTTATGAATTTATTATTATTTTTTTTTTATATCATATATAAATTCATTCAATAGTATAGTGACTATCGATATATTATTTATATATAATAATTGCCGGTATTTTTATTGACACTAATAATAATAATAATAATTATAATAAATTTTTTTTTAATATAAAAAAATTATATTTATTTCTAATAATAATCAAAATTGTTGGTTGACTACCCCCTACACACACACACACACAAACATATACATCTAGTGGGGGGGGGATGACCTACCCTGACCGGGGTGGGGGACCTAACTGTTCCCCAAAAAAAAAATTGTTTTTTAAAAATATTAATTAAATGATTTATTTGAGCTAATAGTTAATAATAATAATAATTATTATTATTTTTGATTAACTATTATATGATATTTTTATGGGATTTTATTTTTAGTGTATTGGCGTTCAACGTGTGTGTTGTTTAACACATAAGTCATATACACTATGTATGCGATAGAGAGATAAAATAGGGTTGACATCTAACACAAGAATATATATATATATTTATTTATCATATCATCAATTATATCATATAATTTATATCCCTATTATTAATAAAGTAATATTAATATTAAATAAATAATAATATTATATTATATATATATTGTTATATATTGTTTTTTTTAATTCTCCTATAATAAATTAATAGACTATACAAATAAATGTCAAATTTTTTTAAAGAAAATTATAAAATTAGTTTTTTTTAAAAAAAAAATATGTAGTATTATATAAATTATATAATAATAACATATAATTGTTTTCTTTTAGGGATTTTTTTCAAAAAACAATAATTATTTTAAAAATAAAAATCTAATTTATTGATAACTAGACAACTTTATTATTATTATTATCATTTTTTACAACAACAAAAATTGTATTTAAATTTTTTTTAATCGTTTTTCATCATCATCATGATCATTTTTACAATAATTTTAGAAAAAACCTCTGTAATATGTCAACACTAGTTTTACATGTGTGTGTGTGTGTGTGTGTAATATCAATGGATATGCTATTGAATGAATGCATTCATTTATACTGTAATTTTATTTTATGATAATAAATGTTATCATAGTATAAACCGAGTGATTATTATATACAGTATATAAACAGTCAATGCAGAGGACATATTACCAAAATATACAGTCGAACACTAGTTATATATACATTAAAATAAATAATATATTTTTTTTTTAAAAAAATGTTAAAAAATAATTCAATAATTAATTTGATTTTTTTCCGAATAATTTTTTATTTTATAACCACAAACTGTATAAAATTAAAATTAAATATCAATTATTTATTTATAATTTTTATTTTATAAAATTTTTATTTTAATTAAACTTGGTCACTTTGTGAGTGTGTGTGTGTGTGTAATATATAGAGGGTGTTAACCTGTATATGTGTGTGTAGTATGTATAAATTGTAGTGAAATATTTAAATGTTTTCTAAAAACCATTCACTGATTACGTTACAAAACATTTTATAATAATAACTAAAATAAATTAACTAAAAAAAAAGTTTTTTACTACAAGTGTTTTAAATTAATATCAAGTATTATATACTATATATATATATATATATATATATGATATTATATATAAATTGATATAAATTAATAATAGTTTTTTTTTAATAAAAAAAGTGATAAAAATAAACTTTTTGTTTTAAAAAAAAATATTTATATCATTTTTTTTTATAAATATATTTATATATAAAATAAAATAAAAAGTACAATCAATTGGCACACTATTTCAACAAACAAACAATCAAAAAAAAAATTATGACTAAAATTATACAACTTATATAATTTTATAATATATATATATATTAATTTTAATTAATTAATTAATAATATGCGTATATAAATAAAAATTATTATTTTTTTTTTATAATAAAAAAAATCAGTTTCAATACAATGAAATGCAATCAATAGATCTAATTGTTTTTGCTTTGTATATAATAAATCGTTATTATTATTATAATTTGTTTCGTTTTTTTTTTAAATAATAAAAATACTAATAAACATTACAATCGATAATAATAATTATTTACAATAATAATGATAATTAAATATTAAGTGTTATTAAGTTTTTATTTTATCATCCAATTTGTGGGTTTAAAAAACTTTCAATATATATATATGTATATTCAGAGAGAGAGAGAGAGAGAGAGAGAGAGAGAGAGAGAGAGAGAGAGAGAGAGAGAGAGAGAGAGAGAGAGAGAGAGAGGATAGTCTTAAACAAACAACATTTAAGACATCAAATATATATTAATAGTAATAATAATAATAAAAACATCAAAAAATGTTATATCATTGTATATAAAATACAAAATATATATATTTATATATTAAATTATGTATATATTTTTTTTTAATTATATTAATATTGTGAACCAAATAAACAAATATTATTATTATTATAATTATAATTATGAGATTCACCAGTGAGAGTTACAACAGTACGATAATAATAATAATAATTTGTTTGTTTGTTTAATTTAAAAACATTAAAATCTATTGTTTTAATTTTTCAAAATGAGTGGGTCAAAGGTCACCCCTAAAAATTGCCAGTATTTAAAAAAAATTATTATTATTATAACAAAATTAGCGCCATTTTTATCAACAACAAAAAAATCAATCCCTGTATAAATTATGCTAATTAACTGTTAAATTAATTAATTACAGGTAATTGGGATTTATATAATAATAATAATAATTAAAAAATATAACTTCCAATAATAATGGGGTGTTTTTTTTGTTGCTACTCTACGAAAACAATTGCCGATATTATTATTATTATTTTACGATATTATATAACAAATATTATTATTATTATTATTATTATTTAAAAATATCTATCTATTTATAAAATAACACATTTTCTCTTTTTCCTGCGGCCAGTCTTTTTCGGTCCATTACTGGCCTCGCCGTCGGCCAGCTTTCGCTTCTGGACGTGTCTCATAAGCTCTTTGAATACCTTTAAAAAAAAAAAAATTTTGTAAAAACATTGCCGTAAATGATAGAACCGGTAGTTATTTTTTTTTTTTAGTTAACTTAAAACACATACCTCTTCGACATTTAACTTAGTTTTGGCCGACGTTTCCACGTACGGCACGCGCCACGCGTCAGCCAATTGTAGGGCTTCGTGTCGACTGACTCGTCGTTTTTCTTCGAGATCTGATTTATTGCCGACCAAAATAAACGGAATGTTATTGTCGTCGCCCTTAACCCGAAGTATTTGTTCGCTATTTGATTTGATTTGATTGGTTACCCGAAAGAAATAAACAAAACAATTAAATTGGTTAAAAAAAACCCGAATCAATTTCGGTGGACAAACTTCAACACCGAACAAACTTACCGAAACTCGTGTGTGGCCGCAAAGCTTTCGTGTTCGGTAATCGAGAATACACATAGAAAGCCTTCGCCGGTACGAAAATAGTTGTCCCGAATGGCCGCATAGTCTTCCTGGCCGGCAGTGTCCAGTATATCGATCTGTACTTCTTCGTTGTCGAGCATCAACTTTTTGCGATAGCTGTCCGCTTTGGTCGGCTCGTAGTCCTCGACAAACTATAATACACACACACACACAAAACAATTAGTATTTAATAATATATTATTATAATAATAGGATAATAAAATTATGGATCAGTTGGACCACACAATTGGGCGAAGACAACAACAACAGCTGACAGCGACTGTCGGCAGTCATCGGCCAGCGGTTGTCTGTCGCCAATTGCGGTGACCAACGATGACGTTGTTGTTGTTGACACTAACCTCCTGATACATGAACTGTAAGGTTAGGGCCGATTTGCCGACACCGCCGGTGCCAACCATAATAACTTTGTGCAACGGCTGGCCAACTGGTTGCCGATTGTTGCCACCCTTTGACTGCATTGTTGTTGAAGAAGTTGTTGTTGTCGTCCACTACCACCACCACCACCACAATCACCCAAACCAACCAAACAAACAATAACCGACAATAACCGGTAATTATAAGTCAAATCAATTGATGGGATGGTATGACACGTGTGTCTGTCTGTCTGTGACACGACTGTCTTTGGATTGGATCAAATGCGGTGACACTTATAGTTTGATGATATCAGAGATGATAACCTGTTGTTGTTGTTGTTGTCGGCAATCAATGGTATCGATGGTCTTCTTCTTCGTCTTCAAACTAAATGAAATTCAATGACACGACTGACTGACTGACTGTTTCATTGACTGACTGTTTGACTGATATTATTATTGAGTGAATAATACAGTAATAATAATAATAATAATAATAAAACAATTGAATTGATTGGCAAATGAAATGATTATTGTTTTTGTATTTTTGTTGTTGTGTTGTATTTATGTTACAGTAGTTGTGATTCACTGTATAATAATATATTAGTAGAGAAACAACTAAATCAAGTGAAATATGAGTTCAAATACAGTATAATCTGTTTAGTAATAGTACTGTATGTTAGGGTTCGACACTTTATTTTTTATAGGGTTATATTCCCTCCTATTATTTAAATTTCTTTTTTTTTTTATTTAAAATAATAATAATTAAACAAATTATAAGTTAATTAAAACTATAATAATTATTGTTGAAATAATTTAATATCAATTATATTTTATTTTTTAAAAAATCTAAAATATATATAAAAAAATTATTAGTCCATACAATAAAAATTATATCGGGAATATTTTATTTTTTTTAAAAAAAGGGGACTTATAATAATAAATTGTATAAATGTGTATGTGTGTTTTTTTTAAAAGTATATACACTATACACTCTCGATAATGTCAACAAATTATTTTTGTATATATATATGCATATTGTATATAACTTATATATTTATATATATAAATTTTTATAAATATTTTCTACTTGTATTAATTGTTGCATGCTAAATAAAAATAGCTATTTTTGTATAGTTTTTTAAAAGTAAAATAATATTTTTTTATGTTTTTAAATATAAAAGTTATATATCGTAATAAAACCTAAAAATTTAAAGTAGCTGTTAAATTGCCAAATAATTTTGTAATATATATGCCTATAGTAAATATAGAATCTTAAATTTTTTTTACACTTTAGTTTTAAATTAATTTTTAAAAAAAAAATAATAATAATCAAATATACAGTGTACTATTATTATAATATATTTTTTTTATAAATATTTAAGTTAAATTTTAGTGCACTTTTAAAAAAAAAAACTTGTTGATATGATATTCATTGACATTAACCTTATATATATACTGTATATACAGTATATAATACATATAAAAGTGTAAAAAATACTGTAATTACATGTTTTTCATTGAAATGCATCAATGATTAAAGTATGTAATCAAATATTTTTTTACATTGAATTATTATTATTACAACTAAAATGTTTTTATTTTTTTTTTTAAAAAAAACATAATTTATATTTAAAAATAATAGAAATTTGTTGAAACATGATAAGTTTTATTACAACTAAAATCTATTTTTAATTGTTTTTTTAAAATTTACATATTCATATACTGTAATAATAATAATTTAAAATTTTCAAAAATTTTGATTTATTTAGCAATAATTTTTTTTCAAAAAAAAAAGTAAAATCGCGTTTAAAAACACATTACTATTTTGTTTGTTTGTTTCTATACTTGTTTTGCATATAAATATAATACTAGAAAATATTTAGCGGAAAAATTATTGTATTTTTTATGTAAATTAAATCCTAGTATTTTCAATAAATAATTTATAAAAAAAACTATAAATTATTATTATTATTATTGAATTTTATAAATTTATTAATTTATAATTTTAAAATAATTGTTAAAAAATAATTAATAAAAAATATTATGTTGTTGTTTGTAAACTTGTCAAAAAAAAATTAATAATTTATTAATTTTATTAACATTTTTAAATTTTTATTTATATAATAAATATAATTAAATAAAAATTTATCAATATGAATTATTATTAGTATTATTATTAAAAGTTATAAAGTTTATGTTAAAATTATAAATAATTTTTTAAAAAAACAAACATTATTTATGTATTTTTTTGTGTTTCAAATTGTCGTTTTAATTTAAACGTTATTTATTTATAAATTGATTTTCACAGTCAATGTGTTTGTATTTGTCATTATTATTATACTGTAATAAACGTTATGTTTAGTTAAAAAAAAAAAAATACAAAATAAAAACATTTTACTAATCGTTTTAAAAATAAAACTAAAAATTTAAAATTCAATTGATTTTATTTGTGTGTTTTAAATATAACGAAAAAAATTAAAACATATTATTATTATTACAAGTAATTTATAAAAAAATTTATTATTTTTATTATCATTAAAAATATATTTGAATAACAAATAAATACAATTATAATTGTATTTTTAATTTTTTAAAATACAGTTTAAATGTTTTTAATTAATACAATCAATACATATATATATAACTAAATAATTATTTTATTTATTTAAAAGTTATATTAATATATCATTAAATAAATAAAAATAAATAATTTATGTTTTAGTGATAATAATAAGTCATTGTTTTCATTAAAAATTTTTAGTTTTTTAAATAATTTTTTTGTTTTTTGATAAACCAATTGATAATCAAATTATTATTATTATTATTATTATTATGTATTGTCTGACTATTGAAATCAAGAGTGAAGAAGAAGTTGAAGACAAAGACCACAATACCGACAGATATATTACGGCTATCATTACCGGACACACAACAGGACAACAATGGCCGACAAGATTGACATGTCGTTGGACGACATTATCAAACGCGACCGAATCGGTGGCGGAAATCGACGCCGAGGTGCTGGCGGAGGAACAGGAGGTGGTCCGAGAGGTGGTCGAGGACGCGGTGGTGGTCGCGGTCGAGGCGCTGGCGGACGATCTAATAGTAGTAATCTGAATGGTATACAACAAAAATCGCGGCCACAGTTTCGCCGATCATTTGGCGGAAACAGTGGCGGTGGCGGTGGTGGCGGACGACAAGGAGTTAAGCGCCAATCGGTCGGCGGCGGAGGAGGTGGCCAGTCGTGGTCGATGCCGTTATCGCCGCGAACGGCACGCCTGCACGTATCCAATCTGGCCTATACGGTAACCGATGACGACCTATACGAACTGTTTGCCAGTTTTGGACCGCTCAAAAAGTGGACAGTTCATTATGACCAATCTGGCCGATCGCTGGGTACCGCCGAACTGTTGTTCGAACAGAAGTTCGACGCCGTACAGGCACTCGACCAGTATAACGGAGTTCCACTCGACGGTAGTCTCTCTTTACTCTCTCTCTCTCTCTTTACTCTCTCTCTCTCTCTCTCTTTACTCTCTCTCTCTCTCTTTACTCTCTTTCTCTGTCTGTTTTCTCTCTCTCTCTTTACTCTCTCTCCCCCCCCTCTCTCTCTCTCTGTCTGTTTTCTCTCTCACTCTCTCTCTCTTTACTCTATCTCTCTCTCTCTCTTTACTCTCTCTCTCTCTCTGTCTGTTTTCTCTCTCTCTTTACTCTCTCTCTCTCTCTCTTTATGCTCTCTCTCTCTCTCTTTATGCTCTCTCTCTCTCAATGACTATCATTGACGGCTTTGATCTTATCATATGATATTAATATATATATCTGTTTTTGTTATTGTTTGGTTGGTATCAATTTAGGACGTCCTATGAGAATACGGGTTATTGGCGCCAAACTTACCGACGATGTAGTAACCACTCCGCGCAACAATAACAAGAACAGCAGCGGTGGTGGTGGCGGTGGCGGCGGTTTTAATAGAGGACGCGGAGGTCGTAGAGGTGGTCGTGGAGGAGGAGGAGGTGGTGGTGGCGCCGGCGGTCGGACCAAAATAATCGTAACGCAAGAAGAGTTGGACAATGATCTGGACTCGTGGCGAATGGAAACCGAATAATAATAATAATATTATTATTAACTATTACTAGTAATTAAATGATAACTAGTAATAACTATCTAATTATTATTATTATTATTATTATTGCATAATTTACACAAACATATATATCATATATTGCTTCCCATAAATACACTATTATTTAGTATAATAATAATAATAATTTTTTTTCAATATTACAAATAACCTAATTTAAAACTAAACTACAAATTTGTTTTTGTTGTTTTCAAATAATTTATACACACATTTTGATTCATTGACAAAAAAATAATTCATAGATATATATATAAATATATAATCATTTAAATTTCATTTATATAGTAATAATAATACTATAATCATATTAATAATCAGTAAACATGTATAACATGTATTTATATTTTTACCAATTGATTATTTATTTTTATTTTTTAATCAATAGTTATTTGTTGTAAAATGTAATTTTTGTTTTTTTTGTTGTTAACATTAGCCACATTAATTTAACATACACAAATTGATATTACAAACAATTAATAATAATAATAATTAATGTGAATTTTTTTTTGTAATTCATATCCTATTTATTTGAATGATGATTTTTTTTGAAATTAAATTATTTAGAAATTAGTTAAACACTGTTTTATTATTATTTATTTATTTTTTTTACATAAATATTTCATTAGATTTAAAAAAAAATTTTTAATGTTTTAATTTAATTTATTTTCCAATTGTATAATAATAATAATAATAATATGAATCATACATTATATGATAAAACTTGTAAATGTATTTTTTGAAATTATTTCAAATCCAATATATAATATTAAAAATAATTTTATGATAAAAAATAAAGTGAATATTATTGAAGTATTTATTGAACGCTATTGCAATTTAACTGATAAATAAATACTATTATATAACTAATCACTTAATATATATATATATATATATATATATATATATATACTGTATATATATTGAATTGTTAGGTATGAAACAAAATATGTGATAAAAATTTTTTTATATTATTTTTGTTTCATTATTATTGATAAACTTTTTAAATACTAGTAAACGCAATACTATTATAATATAATAGTAAAAATTAATTATTAAAATAATTAAATATAATATTTGAGTTTTTAATGTACTTTTAATGGGGAATACAAACAAAAACTTCGGGTGCGGCGGCGGCCACTCAACCGATGATGACGATGACCTGGACGATACTGTTCCCGTACATCCGTATTGGTTGGGCACTCATCCCGAGCCGTGGGATATCGACCGCATTCAGCCGGAACTGCTAGTGTTTCGGCAAAATCATCCGAAACTGGACCTACGCTACGATATGTCGGCCGAACAAGCAGTAGACGCTATAGTGGCCAACGAGCTGTTAGCGGCTACGGGTAGTCGATTGGTGTTCATAGCGCACGGCTTTCGCAGCCATAAACATACCGAATGGTTGCACATAATGAAGGATCGGCTGATCGACGAAAGAGATCAAACGGTAGCCATTGTCGGCTGGGGTAAGGGATCCGATATCGGTGTGTCCGCTTACGAACAAGCGGCGGCCAATGCACTGGCCGTTGGCCAATGGCTGGCACCGTATTTGCGTGAACTGCGCAAACGTTTCCCAGAAATATCGCTGTGGCTAATCGGTCACAGTTTGGGCGCACATTTGGCCGGTCGGGCCGGCCGTGAAAGTCAAGTAAAAATCGATCGAATAACAGGTTTAGATCCGGCGGGTGTCGGCTTTCAAACCGAAAATCTGGACAAACGTCTCAATCGGACCGATGCTCGACTGGTCGATGTCATCCACAGCGACGGCAAATCTGTACCCTATTTCGGTACACTTGTACCGTTAGGTTCGGTAGATTTCTATCCGAATTACGGCTGGAATCAGCCAACAAACGACGCGCCCGACAAAAAGCCGTACCTACAGAGCACACGTCGGTCGGCCAAAGGTCAAGTTAGTCCGTACGGTAGCGGCTTTACGGTCAGCCATAGCCGCGCTATCGACTATTTTATGTGGAGTATCGGCAATTCGGGTTCGTTTCGGACGTCGCTGGTCCTCGAAGACGAACCCGATGTTGATTCGGCCGTACATCGGGTCAAACGTGTGGATCGGGAGACCGAAATGGGCTACTATACCGATCAGTGGCCTAACAACGATCTGCCCGATCGATGCTATTATGTGTTGACCAATGCTAGCGAACCGTGGATTTGATTTTTATAAAAAAAAAATATTTTTTTTTCTAAACACTTAATAATCATATAAACTATTTTTTTAATATTTATTTTCTCTAATAATCTTTTAGGGATTTATTTAATAAACTCTAAAAAAGATAAAATAAATCTAAAAATTATTTAAAGAAATTATTAAATCATTAATAAATTAAATGATAATAAAATTAATTTAATTAAAACTAATAAACATATAATTTATTAAATAACTGATACTTTAAAAAAATAATAATTATAAATAATTTTAAAAAAAAAGATTACTAATAATTATTTAAAACAAATAATTTTTATTTAAATTGATTATAATTGCAATGTGATTTTTAATAACTAAAATTTTATTTAATTTTTTTTTTGGTATATAACCCTGGTGGTAAACATTAATAATTTAGTATTAAATATATAAATAAACCGGTACAGTTATCATCATCAACATTATCAACAATTTGACATTATAATAAATTGATCTGGCACCACTTAAAACATTTAAATCTGGACAAACCCGAACATCGGGCCATAGTTCACGGGCGGCGGCCAATTGGTCAACACTGTGCACTTGTATACAATCAGCGGCCGGCAATTTTTTCCGAGAATCGGTAGATCGTTGTAGTTTTGCACCCAATCCCTGTCCAGCCATCCTATACATTAGCAAATCATTTATCAGCAATTGCTGATTAGCTAGATCATTTTTCATAGTATCCAGATCCAATTTCAATCTGGCCAAATTGTTAACCAAATTATCGATTGGTGTTTTGTTTTGTGGCTAGAAATATATAATAAATATTTATTTTATTTTTTAGTTTATAAAATAAAAATTAAATTAATTAAAAAAAATTGTTATATATTAATAGAAATATCCCAATAATAATAATAATAATTATTAATTATTTAGTTATTACTAATTATTACTAAGTTATTATAATCTACTATTAATTAACAGTTATTAAAAATAAAAGTTTCTATATATTTATTAATATATACAGTATTTATATATATAATAATATAAATAAATAAATAAAATAATATTTATTTATTATACACAAATAAAATAATTTAAAGTATTTAAAAAAATAATTAAAAAAAATAAAAATAAAAAATTTAAATTATAATTAATTATAATCCCAATAATAATAACTTAATAATGATTGTTAATTAATTAGTTATTACTAATTAGTAATTACTAAGTTTATTATAATTTACTATTAATTTAACAGTTATTAAAAATAAAAGTTTTATATATCTATCTATCTATCTATATATACCGTATATAAAATTAAAAATAATAATAAAATCTTACTTTTTCGCAAATAAACTTGAACTTTGACCAACAATTATAATCGTACCATTCACCCTGGCCAGTTTTATAGCCCAATTGTACACAAAAACCGTCCGAATTGGGTTCGCCCGGTGCCCAATGTGTATAATTTAGCCGGGTGCCGTCCTGCCATTGAAATTTACTTGTCACCTGTCTATTGGCACCGATCCATAAACTATGGTCTTCCCACTAAAAAAATTAATTAATTAAATAAAAATTTAAAAATTTAATTAAAAATAATTATTATCATAGATTATATAGTTTTTTTTAAAAAAAAATTTCGATTGAAATAATTTTTGTTTTTTAATTTAATACATTTATTTTACTATTATCATTTTTTTTAATTTTATTTTTTTATTATTTGATGATGATGATGACATTTACCTATGAATAGTATAATAATAGTTTATATTACATAGATTGTAATAAATTTTTTTTTTACAAAAAAAAAACAAAAAAGTTTCAATAATTTAATATTATATAATTTATGCAATATTTTACTAATTAATTAATTTAAAGCTATTTTTAAAAATAAACAAAAATTAGTTTTAAAAAAAAAATATATAAAATAAAAAAAACTAGCATCTATATACTGCAATCTAAATATAAAGGGGGTGGGGTGGGGCTGGGAAAGTGTGGATAGTAATCAACTAGTATTGATACATTGATAAAAACATTGATCTAGCGATAGTGGTGGTGGGGGTCGGGTGGTGCCGTTGAACAAACACACTTAACACCAAACAAAATAAATTACCTTGGTTGGTGGCTTTATTGGTTTCCATACACTTTCGGGTAGTCCCGATAAACCAGCATCGATCATCGAAAATCGGTGGGGTATTGCCGATACTCCCCCACCATCACCACCAACAGTTTGCCGATAGTTATAGTCGCTAATATGCGATTTGTATGGATAGTCCCGGGACCAGGGCATCAACTGACGGCGCCTTTGTTCAACAAACTGGTATTTATCATCGGAGTCAACCGTCACCAACTGAGCACTGGGATCCAGTTGCCGACAAGCGGCCTGAGCGTAGACATACTGTGTCGCGTAGAACATGAATCGTATACACGATTCCTGTTTGTATGCAATCCAACCGACACCATCACAGTTGGCTATAGTTTATAATAATTATAATAATAATTTAATTTTCTAATTAATTTTTATAGAAAAAAAACTAAAATTTTTATAAAAATAATAATTACCTGTTTGTGAACTAGCATTTAAACTATTTATTGAACAAAAAATATTAATAGTAATAATAATGACTGTAATAGTAATAATTGTAGACATTATTTAATTTATAAAAAAAATATAAATAAATATTTTTTTAATAGTTATAACTTTTAGATATAACTTTTTAATATATATATTTTTTATTCAACTATTTATGTAAAAACAGTATAACAATTATTATTAAATATTGTTAAAATAATTAAAAAATAAATGCATAGTCTATTATTACACAATTAAATATTATAAATTGCATTATTGTTATTAATATATATTAAGTCCATAATTCACAATAAGATATGATATAAATATTTATAATTATTAATATTATTAGATAATACAAAAAATATTTGAATAATCTGTTATTATTATCTAGCTAATCACGTCTACAATAAATATTTTTTTTTATTTTATTTACCACTTTAGTACTACAATTACCTTGTTTATATATATATGATATTTAATAAATAATTAATAATAATAAGCTAAAATAAATTATCTTTATTATACAGTAGTTATCATAAATATGATAATACAAATTGCATAAATTTATTGTAAAAATTATTTATGCTATTAAAATCATATTTAATTTAGTGATTAAATAAAATATGATTTATTAGTAATTATTATAACTATTAACTGTATCTCAAGTTTATTTATAATTAATACCTGTTTAATAATTTATGTTTAATAAATATCATATAATAATAATAATAATAATAATAATAATAATAATAATAATAATAATAAGAGGAGGCACAGTGGTGTAGTGGTTAGTGTGTAGGGCTAGTAGAGTAATGGAGAGTAAGATCGTGAGTTCGAGCCCTGATGTGGAAAGCAATTTTTCTGAGAAAAAAAAATTGTTTTAACTGTGCTTCCCGTCCCTGCCCAACCAACGCTGTTTAGGACGGCCAACTTAAGTAGTATGGGGAAAGCGGGGTGCTAAGTGAGGACGAGTTTCTGCCCGACCCGGGTATCGGTACTTCGGTATCGGTGCCCACCTGGGGGTACCCGCAAGGGTGCTCCCACCCGGGGGTGCCTGTAAAAAGGTGCCCCCACCCCGAAGGGACGTCCGCAAGGATGTCCCTTCACCCTTCGAGTAGTTACTCGTCCTCACACGCAATGGCCACTTTTGTTTCAAAAAAATAAAAATAAAAATCCTATTTCAACAAACACATGTTAGTGGTGAGAAATGGGTGGCAATAGACACATGTTAGTGTTGAGCTTTCTCTAGGGACCGGGACCCCGTAAAAAGGCCACAAAATATATAAATATGATTACACGTAGTCGTAGGAATAACGGGGGGTGTTCGGGAGGTACCCTCTCAAATAAATCCCGCGTTCAGCAGGTAGGCATTGACTGCTGTTCGTTAAGTATGCATCATATCCCACGCAGTGATGTGCTATGCGGGCAAAGCTGTGATGTAATGCGACCGCAGACTAGTCAACAAAATCAGACTAACCTCCAAAATGTTTCAGTTCAAGCTGGTTCTCAGCAACAACTGACCAATTTGGTTGACAAATCGCAAAAGCGCATGAGATGGACACATGAGATGAATACCTTGATAATGCGCGAATACTACAGATCAACTCGACTCGAAACAAATATGACTAATTACAGAAACCAAATATACTTAGCATTCAAACAAAAATATCCAGAACTAAATGTAACGGAACAAAGAATTGCAGACCAACGGCGATTCTTAGCAAAGAATAATAAAATATCCCCGATTGAATTACAAGAAATCAAACAACAAGTGGCACATGAACTATCATTAAATGAAACAACTGAATTAAATACCACAGTAGAAGTAGTGCCAGAAATAGAAGAGACACCTACAACAACAGATAACATAAACAATACAAATGATGAAATAAAAAGAATAACAGCAGAAAATGAACTAAAAACATCTTTAGAACAATATAAAGACTTTGAAATAGAATTCAGACCTAAATTACCAAAAATAAGAAGTGGCATTAAAACAAGATCTACTATAATAACGATAAATGATATACTTAAAGATTACATCGAAGAAAATATGTCGTTGAGCGCAATTAATACAATAACGTATTGTGCAGCAGTAGCAGTATCGAGACTCTTAGGCTACAAAATAGAACACATGTCTACAACAAAACCAAATCAAGAAAATGTAATACCTAAATGGCAAAAGCGAATAGAGACACGGATAGAAGGGAAAAGAAAAATAATTGGAAGAATAACGCAAGTGTTAAATGGAATCAAATCAAAAAGACTTAACCAATCATTAAAAGATATATACAGATCATTACAGACAAAACCTGGAAAACCTGAATTTGAATCCATAATCCGAAATTACAACGACACATTAAAACAAACAGTTCAAGCACTATCACAAAGAATTAGAAGATATAAAATACAAAGCGAAAGACGAAAACAAAATACAATGTTCTATAATAACGAAAAAATGTTCTATAGAAATCAAAATAAAATAAATTCAAGCAATAATAACAATACACCACAAATAGATGAAATAGAAAACTACTGGAAAGAAATCTGGAGTAACCCAAAGGAATATAAAGAATCTAATTGGATAAATGATATTGAAGATGAAAATAAAGAAATACCACATATGACTTCAGTAAATATAATTAAAGATGACTTAACCGAAGCCCTCAATAAATCCCACAATTGGAAAAGCCCAGGACAAGACAAAATACAAAACTTCTGGTATAAACACTTTACAACAGTTCATCAACCAATGGCAATAGCAATGAATAAAATAATACAAACAGGACAAACCGATGACTTCCTCACTTCCGGAATAACATATCTACTCCCAAAAACAGAAAATACATCAGATCCCAGCAAATATAGACCAATCACTTGCTTAACAACAATGTATAAAATCCTAACATCCATAATATCAACAAAAATATATAATCATTTAAGTAACAACAACATAATAGCTGAAGAACAAAAAGGCTGTATAAAACACTCAATGGGTTGTAAAGAGCAATTAACAATAGACAATATCATAACAATAAGAGCTCGTCAAAAACATAGAAATCTTGAAATGGCATACATAGACTATAAGAAAGCATTCGATTCAGTCCCTCATAAATGGTTATTAAGAGTGTTAAAACTATATAAAATTGACAACACACTGATAAACACATTAGAAAATATGATGAAAAAATGGAATACTAAATTGTGTGTCAATACAAATAATGGAACAAAAATAAGTACAGAAATCAAAATAAATAGAGGAATATTTCAAGGAGATTCACTCAGTCCTCTGTGGTTCTGCTTAGCTATAAACCCACTGTCATCACTACTTAAAAAGCTAAAAGGCGTAAATCTAAAATCAAGTGATACAAAATATAATCTAACACATCTACTATATATGGACGACTTAAAACTATACGCCGAAAAAGAATCTGATTTAAATGCAATGCTAAAAACAACAGAAACTTTCTCCAATGATATAAATATGGAATTCGGATTAGATAAATGTGCTATAATGAAACTGAAAAGAGGAGTCTATTCTGAAAGAAATCAATACGAAACTGAAAACGGATATATAAAGGCACTAGAAAATGGAGATATATATAAGTATTTAGGAATTAAGCAAATGCATAAATCTAAAATGACAGAAGTTAAAGAAGAAATAAAGAAAACATTAAACCAAAGAATAATAAAAATACTAAAATCTCAACTAAACTCAAACAACAAATTCAAAGCCATAAACACTTGGGCTATACCTGTACTGACATACTCGTTCGGAATAATAAAATGGAGTAAAACAGAACTTGAGACCATTGAAAGACATATAAGGCGACAACTTACAATGTTTGGACTACACCACCCTAGAAGTTCTGTAGCACGACTGTGTGTTAGTAGAAAGCATGGGGGTAGAGGGTTACTAAACATTGTAAGCCTTGAAGCCAAACAGCGAGAATTGCTGAGAAAATACCATCAACAAAAATGCAATGTCTCAGAGCTCCACAAAATAACATCAACACTTGATTACAACTACACACCTCTAAATCTCAGCAATAATGAACATCAAATAGAAATACAAAATGAAAAAGAGAGGATTAACACATGGGCCTCAAAAGAACTCCACGGTAGATACAGAGCAGAACTCAACCAAACACACGTAGACGAAGAAATGTCTACAAAATGGTTGAAGTACGCCGGTCTTCATGGAGAGACAGAGGGGTTCATGATGGCAATACAAGATCGAGTGATTCCGACACGAAACCATCAGAAATACATCCAAAAGCTAAATATACCAACAGACAAGTGCAGGATGTGTCATATGGAGTCCGAAACAATAGAACATATACTAAACGGGTGTAAAGTACTCACAAACACCGAATACCTAAGCCGTCACAACCAAGTAGCCAAAATCATACATCAGGAATTGGCAATAAGATTCGGACTAACCAAAGAACCATTACCATACTATAGATACGAGCCACAAAGTGTAATGGAAAGCAACAGAGCCAAGCTCTACTGGGATAAAGAAATAAGAACAGATAAGACTGTGGCCCACAACCGCCCAGATATAGTACTAGTAGACAAACATCAAGATAAGGCGTACATAATAGACATAGCGGTCCCACTAACACACAAACTACAGGACACGCATAGTGAGAAACGCCGAAAATATACAGACTTGGCCTATGAGATCAATAAGATGTGGCGCATTAAGAAAGTTGAAATCATACCTATAATCCTATCATCAATGGCCGTAATACCGAAAAATCTGGCCCTAAGTTTGGAATCACTGGAAATCAGAAAAACTAAGATCTATGAAATGCAAAAAGCAGTGATACTTCAGAGTTGTAGAACAGTCAGAAAAGTACTAGACTTGAGTTGAGTCTAACCAGTCGTGTCTCTGCCACCAAAAGTGGCCGACACAGCTGTGATCACACCGGAACAACCGTGATATACAAAGATAATAATAATAATAATAATAATAATAATAATAATAATAATAATAATAATAATAATAATAATAATAATAATAATAATAATAATAATAATTACTAAAATAATTAGTTTATATGATTCATAAGATTTATATGACTTATAAGATTTATATGATTTATATGATTATGATATGTATATATAAAATATATATACTGTATATTTACATTTAATTATGAATTTATCTAAAATATTTGATATATATTTTTAAATAAAAAAAATGTTTTGTGTTTTACTAATAAGTGGCAATAAATACATACATACAATACAATACAATACTATTAAAATATAACAATTTATAATTAACAACAAAAACAATATTTAAACAAATAATACCTGTATTTTATTTTTTTTTTAAAAACTGCTAATAAAATATCAATTATGTAAATATCAAATCAAATATATAGATATATTAATGTAAATTATAGCATAAATAAAAATATATTGATAATTATTTTAAAATAATAATTATATATAAATTTAAATATTAATCTAATTTGTTGTTGTATACAAATTTCTAAAAATTTTATTATTATTTATTTTTATTTTATTTAGTATGTTATCCAACTGTATCCTTGGCTACCCAGTCATCACAGAATATTGCACATACCTGTCCTCTAAAACCGTACCTCATGTTACCATTTAAATGACAAGTGATAGACGAGTCAGACACCTATTTATTTATTATTATTTATTATTATTAGATGATAATCTACTTATGTTTATAGTTATATTTAATACACAAAAAATTTTTTTTACAAATGTTTGCAAAATAATTATACTTTAAAAATATTACTAAATTTATTATTTATTTTATTAATAATTAAAGTTTATAATAATTATTTTATTATGTTGAAAATGTTATACTGTTATATATGATATCCATATTAAAGTTAGTATAGAAAGTATAGAAATTATTTTTTATAATAAATTCAATATATTTAACTAATTTTTGTTATATATTATATATTTGCAAAATCATAAATAATTATTATTATACTACTAATTGGGATTTAATTAATTTAATTTGTCGATAATTATTAGTGGGAAATGATAATATTTTTTAAATACTTTTAATAAAATTATTAAAATCAATTAAATAGTCATTTAAATTATTAACAAACACGTGCTTGAATTCAAATTCAATAATAATTATTATAATAAATTAATTATAAATTAATGCGAAACTAAAAAGTTTTTAGATATATATAACTTTTTTGTGCAATTAATTTTATAATTACTTACTAATTAATAGCTATTTAATTGTCTATTATTATTGTTATCAACAGTTAATTATATTAAGTTTTATTGTTTATAACCAAATGACAAGTTTAGTAAACTTCATGTCAATGATTGTTGTGTTAGTTGTAGTCGTTGTCGTCGTCGTCATCAGTGGTCTATCAGTGGTATTGTGTGGTAAACGACAATATGTTCACAACACCGAAGAGATAGAGTTGACTAAAGTGGTGGTCATTGATCCCAAACATTGTAATACCCGACACGATATGGTTGTCCTTATACATAGTGCCGGTCGATCAACGGGTAAATACTTTGATATCAGACAAGAGTTGAGGTCCGGTTGGGTCGGAGACATAAAAACCTATAACATTGGTGTCTGGTTTGCACTCGCACTCAACGATAACCCGACGGTTAATGAAGAGCTGATCATAGAGTCGGATACCTATCGGGATATCATTCAGTTTGGTTTTATCGACAACTACTATAACCTGACACTCAAAGCCATTGCAATTCAACGATGGCTTCACAGATACTGTCGGTCAGTAAAATATCTGCTGAAGATAGACGACGACACGTTTGTCAATATTGGCCAACTGTTGAAAGTGTTACCCGATTTTCCGATCGGTTTCAATGGCCTAATCAGATCTGGCGATTTAGTTGTTCGCAGAGATCCAAATAGCCGATGGTATATACCCGTCGAGTACTATCCGTACGATTATTATCCCGATTATCCGCTGGCCACTCATGTTGCCGTCGAAGTGGACAGAGATCTATTGCTTCGGTCATTGGACACCTATACAGCTATCGGCGGAAATTATGTACTGGACATTGACGACGTTTTCCTAACCGGTATTCTAGCCAATTGGTCGGGTATTACCCGCCATAATAGTAGTCACTTTGTATTGGACGACTGTCACTGTATACCCAGTTTGCATACCGTTCCCATACATCTAGAGTGCAAACAACGATCGGACATATGGCGTGCATTTTTGGACGTATCCATGAATACCAGTGCCTATTGTAGTCAAAATGTATCGCCGATGATTGGCCACCGAAGCCGACTACTACTACTACAACTACTTTTACCGGCGCTAAGCTATATGATTAATACATTTAATTTTTAAACTAACAATTATATTATTATTATAATTATTATGAATTATTTGTATATTAAAACTGATTAAAAAAATAAAAATTGTATTTATTTATAGATAATATAATTATTTATAATTAATTTAATAGCAATTTAATATAATATTTATAACAAGTTATACAGTAATTAGTTTTATTTTTCTTATATAGTTTAATAAAATACTATACAAATAATAATTTATATAGACAGTTATATATATATAATAGTGTTTGGGGCAACTTTTCATTGAGTGGGAAGTTCCCCTAACATACAGTAAAATCCAAATCCAATTTTTTTTAAAGGAAAAATAATGTAAAAATATTTTATATAAACTATAATAGGCTCTAATTATATATATACTAGTTAGTTTCCCGGTAATAATCATGTGACTTAATTTTCTGGTTTTAAATTATAAAAACAAAAAGCAATCTAAAAACAAATATATTATTTAAATTTCGCGTTAAATAATATAATTTAAATGTTTTTTTTCTTTACACGTGCAACAATAAATAAAATTAAAAAACTAACTGATTAATTAACAATACTTTTTATTTAACCGTTATTTTAATTTTAATCATTTTTAATTGTTGTAACGCGCAAAAGTGTGACAAAGATATAAATATATAAACATTTCCAAATTATATAGTAGTATAGATATATATATATATATATATATATCAATAATTAAATTATAATAATAAGTTTAGTTAAATTGATTAGGTAATTATTATAAAATCTAAAAATTAAAGAAAAAATCAAATTATTTATTAATAAGCATAAACAATAAATTATAAAATTTATAAAATTAAAAACATATATGATTATTTTTTCGTTGTAAAATTGGAGGGAATTTATTAAGGAACTATCCAACCCTTGAGATGCCCTAACTTTTTGGCTTTAGGCCAGGGGTAGGATAAATCCTAAAAATCTCGATCTCAGTGGGGGGGAGTAAGATGTTCTTACCCTGATATATATATATATATATAATTATTTAAAGAATTATATAACAAATATTTATATATATAACTTTAAAAAGTAATAAAAATTATTTATTTTTTTTATTGATAAAAACTGGTAATTAATTGATTTTTTGTAATTAACAAACAACAGGTAGTTGACTATAATGTTGGCACTTAACCATCGATGGTGTATCCATACGATTGTTATCGTTTACCGGTAAGTCTATTACAGTTAGTTTTAACTGTTTTCTATTATTAGAATCATTAGCACCGGTAGTCAGCAGTACAGCAGCAGTCAGTTGACTGATATTAGTAAACGGTTGGTCATCGATGGCTATAATGTATTTTTGCTTAAGTTCTCTGAGACACAAAAACAAACAAATAATAATAATAATTACAGTATTATTATTTAAAAAAATATATTATATATTTACGGGCACAGGGATTCGGGTAGTATGTCCTCAACAATAAACCAATTTATATGTTTCGATAGGACAATGCCGAGCTTGACTACTACTGATGGCCCGTTGCCAGCAATAATCGGTGAATACTTGATCTCACGGTTCATGACTTTCCTGGGGAACACCGTTCTCTGATAATTCATAGCATTTTCAATAAACTCTATATACATATAGTATAGTAAATATTATTTTTAAAAAATATTTTCAATATCACACATACACACACATTGACTGCGTGAGCGGCGGTCAAAACATACTTATCGTTTCCGCCGCCGTAGTTGGCCACACGAAATCCACTTGCCATATCGTTTACGTAACGACTGTCGTGGATACAGATCTGATGACATCTGACCACTGATGGGAAACATTTTTGTCTAACGCCGACAATATCGATGCCGTCAGCACCAGTCATGTCTGCCGATCTTAGCAGCCATGGATCAGACGACCAGTGGCTGAACAGTTGTTTATGTTGTCGGTGTTGGCGATGATTACGGTTTGTCCGCCAATTGTATGCCATTATCATCACCGCCGCCGCTGCCGATCGTATGCATAACATTCCCAACATTAGTCCCGAATTATAATATATATGTTTGTATTGGGAATATTGGATACAAATAAATCTTATAAACGGTTTTTTTAAATCTAATTAATTAATAACCTGTTTTTGTTTAATATAAATAATGTAATTATTTTTTTTATAAATTAGATAATTTATTGATTTATTTTAGAGATACAATACATATCAAACAAACCGTTTTATTTAGTAAATATAAAAATCAATATATTATAGAACTTCAATAAAACAAAAACAAACAAACTTTAATATATAAAACTTATTAATCATTAATATAATTGCGATAATAAAAATTATAATTATTAACAATAATATATAATAATTACAAAAAAATTTTAATAATATAATTATATAATAATAATAAATACTTGAGTCTTGATTAATAAATAAATAAGTATTTATATATATTTGTTTAAATTATAATTATAATTATAATTATTATTTATATATATATAGATATATAAATGGTAAATAAAGTAAAACTACAAATTACAAACTAATCTATACTATAGCTATATATAGATTCTATAGAAAAAAATAAATATAAAAAAACATCAGACTATTGTATTTTTTTTCTATTGCAAAACGTTTATATTAAATACATTTATAACCATTTTTTACATATTATTAATTTAATCTATAAAGATTTGGAAACGTATTGATTAATTGATTTATTTTTTTTTTATATAAAAATATAATCTCTATTATATAAAAGTTTATAAACTTATATTTTTCTTTTAAATATTAGTATTAATTAATAAAACTATAAAAAACTAATTAAAAGTTTACTAATTAAATCATTCTATTTTTTAAAAATAGTTTTTCCTATTGTATAACATTTATATCAAAATACAATTATATAAACTTTTCTTTTACATATTATTAATATAATTTATATATAATAAAAAAATAATATCAAACATTGATTTTTAATTAATTTTATTTATAAATAAAAAATTGATTTACAGTTGATTTAAATCTATAACTTAAAAATAATACTGTTAAAAATATTTAAGAGATATTTAAATGTTTATAATTTATATATAATTTAAAAAAAAAGTTTTCTAAAAAATAATATTAATACTGTATTTATATATTATGTAATACAGTATATAATTTTTTAATTGATAAAAAATGGTAATTAATTGATTTTGTAATTAAAAAACAACAGGTAGTTGACTATAATGTTGGCACTTAACCATCAATGGTGTGTCCATACGATTGTTATCGTTTACCGGTAAGTCTATTACAGTTAGTTTTAACTGTTTTCTATTATTAGAATCATTAGCACCGGTAGTCAGCAGTACAGCAGCAGTTAATTGACTGATATTAGTAAACGGTTGGTCATCGATGGCTATAATATATTTTTGGGAAAGTTCTCTGACACACAAACAAACAAATAATAATTACAGTATTATTATTTTTAAAAAATATTATATATTTACGGGCACAGGGATTCGGGTAGTATGTCCTCAACAATAAACCAATTTATATGTTTCGATAGGACAATGCCGAGTTTGACTACTACTGCTGCCGCTTCCGATAATGGCCCGATGCCAGCAATAATCGGTGAATACTTGATCTCACGGTTCATGACTTTCCTGGGGAACACCGTTCTCTGATAATTGATAGCATTTTCAATGAAGTCTATATACATATAGTATAGTAAATATGATTTAAAAAAAATATTTTCAATATACTCATACACACACACACATACAGACAGATACACACACATACACACACATACACACACATAAACACACATAAACACACATACACATACATACACACACATACACGCACATACACATACATACACACACATACACACACATACACATACATACACACACATACACACACATACACACACATACACACACACATACACACACATACACACACATACACACACATACACACACATACACACACATACACATACATACACACACATACACATATATGTCACATAGTTTTACCATTTATCTCATTGTACGCTATACCATAATATCTGCCAAACATAGTGGCAATGTCGTTAGCACCGGCTATTTGTCCACCAGCGACTACCAGTGGACCGCCAGAAAAACCGGGAGGAGTAGGAGCCGAATGAGCCAACAGAGTTACGGCGTCATCAATATAAGCAATCTCTACCGCATAGCCGTTCATAATTTGATTATTATTGACACCCATGGCCTGGACACGGCCCGAATGGCACCAAAAGTCCCAGTCATTGATGGCAAACGTGATTACAGGTTCGCCGAAATCTGGTCGGTTGTTGGTTAGTATAGGTACAGGTATGTAGCCATCCGTATCGACCGATTCATCGATGTTCAGCTTAAACAGTGCCAAATCCCGGTGCAGTTCAACATAGACAACGGTTGCATCAATATATTGATATTGATTTTCGTAAATCATAGCTAATTGAAGAATCTGTGCGCCTTTGGCTGTGTGAGCGGCGGTCACAACATACTTATCGTTTCCGATGTTGTTGTTGGCCACACGAAATCCAGTACCCATACCGCATGAGTAATCAGTGTCGTGGATAGAGATCAGATAACATCGGACCACTGATAGCAAACATTTTTGTCTAACGCCGACAATATCGATGCCGTCAGCAGCAGTCATGTCTGCCGATCTTAGCAGCCATGGATCAGACGACCAGTGTCTGAACAGTTGCTTATGTTGTTGCTGTCGGTGTTGACGATGATTACGGTTTGTCCGCCAATTGTATGCCATTATCATCACCGCCGCCGTTGCCGATCGTATGCATAACATTCCCAACATTAGTCCCGAATTATAATATAAATGTTTGTATTGGGAATATTGGATACAAATAGATCTTATAAAAGGTTTTTTAAATAATTTAATTAATTAATAACCTGTTTTTTTGTTTAATATAAATAATGTAATTATTTTTTATAAATTATAGATAATTTATTTTAGAGATACAATACATATCAAACAAACCGTTTTATTTAGTAAATATAAAAATCAATATATTATTTTTAGATATATATATATATATATATAACAATTAATTTTTTATTTCATGCGTTTATTATAGAAATTCAAAAAAATATAAAAAAAAACTTATTAATCATTAATATAAAAATTATAATTATTATAATAATTACAAATATTTTTTTTATAATATAATTTTATTATAATTTTTATTTTATAATATAATAATACTAATAAATACTTGAGTTTGATTAATAAATAAATAAATAAATAGTAAACAAAGTAAAACTTGATTAAATAAAATTACAAAATATAACAATAAATAACAAAAACATAAATACAAACGCCAACGACTATCAGTCAATAAAAAATTATTGGTAAGAAAATAAAAATTAATTTATATATTCAATATATATATATATACATTATATATATATATATATATATTGAACAGTGAATAATTGTATAAACAAATTACATATTATACAAACATATAAACATATTATACAAACAAACAAAAAATAGATATGAAATTAAATTAAACAAAAAAAAAATTATATAAACTCATAACAACTTATATTTTATAATTTCAATGTATAGTTGTTTGACAATAAAAAAAAACTAAAAAAAACTTTTAACTTAAAATTGTAGATTTATTTTGTGTTTTAAATAGATGGTCTTACCTTCTTACCCCCCCTTTTGCAACACTTATATATATATATATAATTATTTAAAGGATTATATAACAAATATTTATATATATAACTTTGAAAAACAATAAAAATTATTTTTTTTTTTGTTAATAAAAACTGGTAATTAATTTTTTGTAATTAACAAACAACAGGTAGTTGACTATAATGTTGGCACTTAACCATCAATGGTGTGTCCATACGATTGTTATCGTTTACCGGTAAGTCTATTAACGTTAGTTTTAACTGTTTTCTATTATTAGTATCATTAGCACCGGTAGTCAGCAGTACAGCAGCAGTCAATTGACTGATATTAGTAAACGGTTGGTCATCGATGGCTATAATATATTTTTGGGAAAGTTCTCTGACAACACAAAGAAACAAATAATAAAAATAATAATAATTACAGTATTATTATTATAAAATATTCTGTATATTTACGGGCACAGGGATTCGGGTAGTATGTCCTCAACAATAAACCAATTTATATGTTTCGATAGGACAATGCCGAGTTTGACTACTACTGCTGCCGCTTCCGCTAATGGCCCGTTGCCAGCAATAATCGGTGAATACTTGATCTCACGGTTCATGACTTTCCTGGGGAATACCGTTCTCTGATAATTCATAGCATTTTCAATAAACTCTATATATATATAATAAAGTATATATGATTTTTGTTTATAAAATTTTTTTTTTTTTTAAATATCACACACATACACACACTACACACACATACACACAGTTTTACCATTTATCTCATTGTAAGCTATACTACAATAGTTGCCAAATTGGCTGGCAATGTCGTTAGCACCGGCTATTTGTCCACCAGCGACTACCAGTGGACCGCCAGAAAAACCGGGAGGAGTAGGAGCCGAATGAGCCAACAGAGTTACGGCGTCATCTATATAAGCAAACTCCATCTTATAGTCGGTCATAAATTGATTAACATTGACACCCATGGCCTGGACACGACCCGAATGGCACCAAAAGTCCCAGTCATTGATGGCAAACGTGATTACAGGTTCGCCGAAATCTGGTCGGTTGTTGGTTAGTATAGGTACAGGTATGTAGCCATCCGTATCGACCGATTCATCGATGTTCAGCTTAAACAGTGCCAAATCCCGGTGCAGTTCCACATAGACAACGGTTGAATCAATATATTGATATTGATTTTCGTAAATCATAGCTAATTTGACAATCTGTGCGCCTTTGACTACGTGAGCGGCGGTCACAACATACTTATCGTTTACGCCGCCGATGTTGTTGTTGGCCACACGAGATCCAGTACCCATACCGCTTGAGTAATCACTGTCTTGGATAGAGATCCGATAACATCGGACCACTGATCGCAAACATTTTTGTCTAACGCCGACAATATCGATGCCGTCATCACCAGTCATGTCTGCCGATCTTAGCAGCCATGGATCAGACGACCAGTGTCTGAACAGTTGCTTATGTTGTTGCTGTCGGTGTTGACGATGATTACGGTCTGTCCGCCAATTGTATGCCATTAGCACTACCGCCGCCGCTGCCGATCGTATGCATAATATTCCCAACATTAGTCCCGAATTATAATATATATGTTTGTATTGGCGGTCGCACTCATAAGATCTAAACTCATTTGACCCAAACTTATTTGACCCAAATCATTAGAACCAAACTTACTTGACCCAACTCATTTGACCCAAACTCATATGACCCAAATCACTTGACCCAAACTCATTTGACCCAAATCACTTGACCCAAATCACTTGACCCAAATCATTTGATCTAAATCATTTGACCCAAATTACTTGACCCAAATCATTTGACCCAAACTTATTTGACCCAAATATTATTTTATTTTTTCAAACTATATAATATATATAAATGATACAAAAATTAATAAAATAATAATCTAAATAGTTATAAAATTTAGAACTTATTAATATTTATTTACTGTAAATAGTATTACATATTAATTTTTAAAAATATTATATAAAAAGCCAGAGATATTACCAATTGGTTAAAAAATGAATATGGAATAAATATTAATGTTCTAAATTTTCTAACTATTAAGTTTTGTATCATTTATATATATTATATAGTTTGAAAAAATAAAATAATATTTGGGTCAAATAAGTTTGGGTCAAATGATTTGGGTCAAGTAATTTGGGTCAAATGATTTAGATCAAATGATTTGGGTCAAGTGATTTGGGTCAAGTGATTTGGGTCAAATGAGTTTGGGTCAAGTGATTTGGGTCATATGAGTTTGGGTCAAATGAGTTGGGTCAAGTAAGTTTGGTTCTAATGATTTGGGTCAAATAAGTTTGGGTCAAATGAGTTTAGATCTTATGAACTAGACCCTTGTATTGGGAATATTGGATACAAATAAATCTTATAAACGGTTTTTTAAATAATTTAAATAATTTGTTTTTTGTTTAATATAAATAATGTAATTATTTTTTATAAATTTATTTATTTATTTTAGAGATACAATACATATCAAACAAACCGTTTTATTTTTTAAATATAAATATGTATATATAAATATATAACAATTAATTTTATTATTTCATGCGTTTATTATAGAAATTCAAAAAACAAAAACAAACAAACTTTAATATATAAAACTTATTAATCATTAATATAATCGCGATAATAAAAATTATAATTATTAACAATAATATATAATAATTACAGAACTTTTTAATAATATAATAATTATATAATAATAATAATAATAAATACTTGAGTCTTGATTAATAAATAAATAAGTATTTATATATTTTTAAATTATTCTTATTATATAAATTATTATATATATATATATTTATATATTAATAAATATATAAATAATAAACAAAGTAAAACTTGATTAAATAAAATTACAAACTAATCTATAGTTTATATCTAAACTTATATACATTATTTTTGTAATTTTTAAAAAAATTTTATCTTTAAACTTTATAGATATTAATAAATTACTGTTTAGTATTTAGTAATAAGTAATAATTAATTAACTAATACCAATTAACAATTTATAATAAATAAATAGTTTAATTACTTTCAATAATATTATTACTAAACAATAAAATTATTTATTTTAATTATTTTCTAATAGTATTTTGTTTAATTTATTATCAGTGTATTATAAGTGTAGAATTAATTTTGATAACTAATTACTTAATTTTATGATTTACTAAATAGCTTAGTTTTTTTTAATCATTTAATTATTAATCAATAAACATTATTTTTAAAAAATAAATAAATATTAGCTATAATTATAAAGTAATTTTTGTTGTTAATATAAATAATTAATTGAAGCAAAAAAAATCTATAATTTACTAAAAAAAATAATTTCAATTATAGTTATAATAATCATTATTAAATACTAATCAAATTTACATTAATTTTTTTTAAGTTAAACTTAATTAAAACAATTTATAATTTCAGCACAACATATGATTTTTTTTAATAATTTAGTCCAAAATTAGTAATCAATTTGTTTTTATTGTTATTATTATTATTATTATTCAAAATCACAACATTAACAATATTACCATTGATTTTGCAAACAATTTTCGGGTCGATATTACTGAGCCGCTGACCAGTATTATCGATGGTCAGGTATTTCAAATGAGCCAATCGGTCGACCAGTGATTCAAGTGTCGGGCAATAATGTCTGTATAGCGTAGTGTTAGACGTTGTAAACGCGGTAAATGATGGCCAATGTTTGAGACAAATCGATCGCCTAAACGGTAGACATCGGGTAACCAGAGTGTCAATTGTGTTAGCCGTTTGAATGCATTGAATGCAATATCGAGTACGGATAGTAACGGTAGAAAAATGTCGGCCAAACAACAAAATACAAACTGCCGTAAGCGGCGACCAAAATGTTGGCCAATCGTATGCACAATATTCATGGGTAACGTAAGTAGCGGACAGTACGGCTGGCTTATCATTGCAATCGATAGCGATGTCAATCGGCTACAGTCGGCTGCAATACGGGCCAAACCCGAGTCAATGATTGACCAATAGTTTTCGTATATCCATCCGTCGATAGTCAACTTCATGTGCGCCAAACCAGACATTTGACTCAAACCGACCATCAAATCGCCAATTGAATCGGTTAGCTGTTGGTCCGCCATTGTACACATAATGTCCATTTCGAGTCCGACCAGTTGCCGGCCGTATCGGTCGGCAAACTGTCGAAATCGATGTCCACTACTCGAATAGTACCGCAGCTTCAGATGTCGTAACTCATTGAACTGTTGTCCAGCAACCGCAGTGGGTTTAATCATTAGGTAGGTCATGACCGTCGAGTGGACATCAAACAGGTCCAGTCGCTGCAAATTAGTGGCCAAATGCAGACATCGGCCAATTGATTCGTGTAGTCGGGGATTGCAAAACGTTTCAGTGATTGTCAACAATTTCGGACCAAATTTCCGAAACATTTTGTCCCATACTTTCGAACTAACCGAACGCATGTCGATACCGGTACCCGTAATGTGTTGTAATTGTGGACAGTTAGCCAAAATTTTAATCATTAGTTTGTCATCAAAATGTCTGAAATTTCTAACGGATAATCTGGTAATGTTCGGACATTTTTTAAACAATAGCTTTATAGCAGCCGATGTAAAAATTTTTAATAATATAATTATATAATAATAATAATAATAAATACTTGAGTCTTAATTAATAAATAAATAAGTATTTATATATTTTTAAATTATTATTACAGTATTATATAAATTATTATATTCTATAATAGTTTATACTGTATATATATATATATATATATATATATATATATATATATAGTATATAATTTATTTCATTATTTTCCTGTAAAAATTGAAGAAATCATATAAAAAAATGATATAAAAGTTTACTTAAAGCCTATGTTTTACATAAAATAATTATTTAAAAAAAAATCTTAATTAATATATTTTTTTATTAACTAAATAATTTTTTTTTTTTTTTGAAAGTAAACTATTAAATTAACTTATATTTAAATATAAATTTTAAATTAATTTTTATTTAATAAAATGTAAAATTAATTAAATGATATTTAATAATAATTTTTTTCATTACATAAATTAATCAACTATAGTATTATAATACAGTTTATTTCAAAATGATTATATACTAAAAGTTTTTATACAACATTTAGTAAATATGTAACAATATATATATATATATCAAATCAATTTATTGATTATAAAAAAAATATATATCAAATGAGATTATTATCAAATATAATAAAAAATATAAGATATTACTTAAATCATACAAAAAATAAAAATAAAATCAAACAAAATAAATAAATATTAAAAATTATCAAAAAAATGGTCAATTATTAAAAACTAAAATCAATTAATTTAAACAATAAAATTAATTAATTAAATTAAAAATATAATAATTAACACAAAACTATTAATTAATCAATTAATTAATTAACATCCAAACGGTTGACCACTTCTAGTTCCCGACCAATGCGGTCAGTATTCGGCAATTTGAATACAATATTACAAAACTCATAGTAAATACCGTAACTATCCGTATCGGTTGTCCTACGTTTATGTAGGACTACCTGATCGGTTAGTTTCGGTTTACAAACAACATAACCGGTCAGAAACAGGGCACTGGTCAGCGTACCGATTACCGCAGCCATTACCAGCCAATGATAAGTATCGGATAATTGGCTCAGACCTCCCGTGGCCGCCGTCGGCTGTTTGGCAAACTGTACGGCAAACCATATGGCCAGTAGGACAATGTTTTCCAGCGATACAATCAATAGAAATTTCAATGGACGCCTGAACTCCTTGAGCTGAAACATAACCGGCCAGATCAGCAGCGATGGTAGTCCGAAAAACAGGAATACCATTATGGCCATTGACCATCGTTTACGTAGCGACCACTGGCCAACATCACCGGACTGGCCACTGGTTGTCGATGACGACGATAGACCGTGAGATTCCAGGGCTATACTATAGATCCATAAGCTCATGGATAGTACGTGTATGAGTGCCAGTACTACACAATAGATGCCGATTACCGACGCAATCAGCGAGAAGACAATCACACGCGAGACGAACAACGATAGCCAACCGATAAACGACAAAATACTGGTCAGTATGCCGTCGTCCCGACGGCGGACGGCTATCATCATCGATAGGACACATAGAGCCGATCCGATTAGTTCGCCGATTACTATAAAAAAAATCATTTAAACAATGAGTTTATTAATGATATTATAATTTATTAATAAATATTTTTTTTTTTTTTAATAAAATTTATTAAACTTTTTATAATTGTGTACTAAATGTGTTTGTATTAGAAATATAAAAAGTTTATAAATAATTTTCTAGTATTTAAGTTTACTGAATATACTATGAAAATTAGTTTATACTTTCATACTTATAAGTAACACTTAAATCTATTTAATTAATTACAGTTTTTTTTTAAATTAATAAATTTAACTTTAAGTTATACTGTATATAATATTGTGTAAATAATATTGAATGTACTCTATTTAATACATTATGATTATTAGAATTAATATTTTTTTAAAAATAGTATTATCAAAATTTTGTGTTATTTTTATTAAAAATTAATATTTTTGTGTATTAGTTCGTGAGTGTGTACTGTATGTGTGTGTATTTGTTAGTATGTGTGTGCGTGTGTGTTAGTATGTGTATGTATGTGTGTTAGTGTGTGTATGTGTATAAGTATGTATGTATGTATATATATATATATATATATATATATATATATATATATATGTATGTGGGTGTGTGGGTGTGTGTATGTGTGTGTGTATGTATGTATGTATGTATGTATGTATGTATGTATGTATGTATGTATGTATGTATGTATGTATGTATGTATGTATGTATGTATGTATGTATGTATGTATGTATGTATGTATGTATGTATGTATGTATGTATGTATGTATGTATGTATGTATGTATGTATGTATGTATGTATGTATGTATGTATGTATGTATGTATGTATGTATGTATGTATGTATGTATGTATGTATGTATGTATGTATGTATGTATGTATGTATGTATGTATGTATGTATGTATGTATGTATGTATGTGTGTATGTGTGTGTGTATATATGTGTGTGTCAGCAATACTTACAAACTTTTGTCGTAAAGTTTTCGGTTTTGGCTAATTGAAGGAACAGTATGTAGAGTTGCAATAGTATCTGAAGAAAGCCGGCGTAAAAGTCTTCAAAAAACTCCAAAACTTCGGCATTTCTCTGCATCGACACAATGTCCTCCCGTTCCTCGCTATGAGCCGACCGACACATACATATACGTTGGGCAACAAAGTGCAACACATCCAGGTGTCTGCAAAACAAAACAAAAATTATATAATAATAATAATAATAATAATAATATAAATACCAAAAATATTATAATTTTAAAAATTAATAATTTTTTTTATGAATATTACTAAAATTATTAATCAATTTATTAATAATATTGTAATATAAATATATATTCTAATTATAATATATAAATTAATAAAAATAAATTTTTAACTAATTTTATTATTAGTTATAATCTATAAAAATTAATTATTTTTAATAACTTTTTAATAATTATTATTTATACTAACAGTAAGTTTGTAATATTTTATTTTATATTAATAATCAATTTATTATGAAACTGTAATATATTAATTGATTAAAATTTGTATACATATATATATTAAAATTATATAAATTTTTAATAGCTTGATGATGTTTACGATATTAGATATAAATAAAATTTTTAAATAAATTTTTCTTATATAAGTATAGATAAAAAAAATTATATGCTAATTAATTAACATAGATATTGTCATGCTCAAATTTCTAATAATTTTTTTATCAACAAAAAAAATCATCAATATTAACATGATAATTATTTTTATTTTAAATAAATAAATAAAATATTTATAATTTTTAAAATAATTGTAATAATAGTAGAATTTTTTTCAGTAGATATTTGCAAAAAAAAAATAAAATAAAAATAAATTATTAATTAAAATATTATTCACTAAAAAAATATATATATATACTTATCATATCATTTGTGTGTTAGATAGAGGTAGAGACCGGAACTGACAGTTCAGATAACTTATACAGAAAACTAAAACATAAATTAATTATAATTTAACTTCAATTACATTACACACACATACTGTATATATATAAACCCTAACTTGATATTTGATTTTTTTTATTGTTGCGATTATTATTATTATTATTCATTTAATTAATTATTAAGACAAATATACCTTATTTATAACAATAATATAACAAAAAAAAATGCTGTAATATAGTAATAGTAATATAAAAATTTATTGATATTACAAGTAATGTGATATTAAGCAGAAAAAAATTACTAAAATAAAACATAATATATATATATATATTAGATTTTCTATAAAGTGTTTGGTTGGCTGTAAAGGTAGTGATGATTGAATTAATATACTTTACTATACTATTCAATATAACTTATAATAAGACAATCATAAAAAACACTTGTATTTGTTATATTAAACCAGAGAGAGAGAGAGAGAGAGAGAGAGAGAGAGAGAGAGAGAGAGAGAGAGAGAGAGAGAGAGAGAGAGAGAGAGAGAGGAATAGTAGTAGTAGTAATGATAAAATATTTCAATCAAAACAAATGGTTATATAACCTAATAATTATTATTAATTCAAATGAAACAAAAATATAATTTTTTTCATCCTAATTACATGGTATTTGATAAAATATTTAAGTTATTACACACATACACACACATATATATATATATATATATATATATAGGAAAAAAATGTGTTATAATTTTATGGTTGTAGTTGTTGTGGTGTGGATGAAATAATAGCTAAAATTCAATGGTTAAAGTCAAGGATAAAAAACATGTAGAGTATATATATATATATATATACTGTATATATTGATATATCAATGATATAAACATTTTTGTTTTGCAACCAAAATAAAAAATAACGGAATTAATTAAATATTTATATTTAAAAAAAAAAACTGAAAATTTATATCCCGTTCCTGTCAGTTGAAGTTTTAGGGACTCATATATATCATATGTGTGTAAATATGTTATTTTGGTATTAAAAGTGCGGAAATACAGTATATATTTTAGTTTTCATTTATATATATATATATATATATATAACATAACCGACCTCTTGATCTGCCAGGGAATCAATAGGAGACCGTTGACTGTCTTAGTGGTCAAATCGTTGCGATCGATACGGGACTCTTTGACCAGTGCTTCGCCGATCAGATAGAAAGCGTAGACAACCGGCGGACAGACCAACGATAGGACACTTACGATGAAAAAGTGTAGGTCGTGGTCGCTGTAGTAGGTATTGACGGCCGTACAGTCCTGAAACAGTTTGTTCAGATAGATAACCAATCGGATCAGCGATAAGAGTAGTAGACGTTGGAATAGAAATCGTGATAATAGTCCTGAACCTCCTCCCGGTGCTGATGCTGGTGGTGGTGGTGATGGTGCTGATGATGATGATGAGGTAGTGGTAGGTAGACGCTGATGGGTAGCCATGGTGTCGACACTTGCATCAAATTTATAGACACCATTGTTGTCCAGTAGTCTATTGGTGTTCTGTATATATATATATATATATATATATATTAATAAAAATTATAAAATAAATTAAAAACTTTTTAATTAATTATAATGTTTTTATAAATGTTTGAAATACATTATCATTAGTTATCATATTATTTAATTATAATGTATTTTTTTAAATATATATATAAATAATACATATATATTTACTAATATTATAAATTTTTATTTATTTATTATATTGCATAATGTTATATTGTATTTTATAGTTTTAATTATTTATTTTTTTATTAAAAATATAAAATTAATATATCTATTTTATTGTCAATTATTGTAAGTAAATTTATTTCAATAGTAAGTTAAAGTAAAAATTATTTAAAATTAATAATCTAAATGTTATTCAACAACAACAAAAAATTGAACTCAAATTACATCAATTTAAATTAATCAATTTAATTTATAAACTTTAATATATTTTAATATGCAATGTAATGTTATAATGCTAATAAAAATAAATACAAATACAAATATTTATCATAAAATTAATATAAAAAAAAGTTTATATTTTTAAGATGGACGACATAATGGTGTGATATTTATATAACAACAATAAGGCTTATTGTTTAATATATATATATATATATACAGTAATATATCATACATATATAGTAAATGTAATTTTATGCTATCAATTATTTTATTTTTAAATACAGTAGTTTTTTCATATAAAATTATCACAAAAAAATTAAATCATGAGTTATATCGTATATATATATATAATATTTTAACAAATTATTTACTATTTTACTGTATATATCAAAATATTTATACATATTATAATAATTTATTGTAAAAACAAATTGTTGGGCCCAGAGGTTATGTATTATTGATTAGTTGGGTTTTACACTATATATATAATATATAAAATACTTTATATATATCAGATTATCACACATATAAACAAGCTTATCGACATATAAAAACTATTATCAACGCATAACACATTAAGGATTACATATATACAGAGCACAGGTATGTTAGGTAATAGGTATATATATACATTTACAGAGCACTTGTATCTATAAATGCACTGGACTTACATTGATGTGCTCCAGTTCTAGATTTGTTGGACTGTCGTTATTATTAGCCATAGTTTTATTATTTTTTTTTAAAAAAATAATATTTATATTTAAATATTTGCTATGAGATGACTAATAAATATATTTAATTATTATTATTATTATTATTACATAATTAACAACAATTTTTGTAGTATAATTTTTTTTAACTAAAATTATTATTAATATTAGATTTATTTTTATGTAATTTTTTCAAAAAATTAAAATACACAATAACACTTTTTTTATGTTGTTAATAATTTTCTAAGAATTTATATATATATACAGTATATATAAAATTATTAACAATATTAACAATAGTAATGATTTCAAACAAACAATTCAAAATTGAAATTATATTATTAATACTAAATTAGCTATTAATTTGTTTTCAAACAACAAAAACATTTTATATATTATATAACTAATTATTAGGCAACTAATAAATAAGATTTACAGATATACAGTACTACTATAAACACATACAAAATACACCAAACAATTAGCAAATCACTAGTAACTCAACACATATATAGCATTTAATAATACTAAATGAATTTCATTGAAAACGGCATATATAGACAAACACATACATACACACAGAGTATATATATATATATATATATATATAATACAGTAGTTTTTCGTGTCTTCAAATAAAATACAAGTCAAGGATAACCCCCTCTCCTATTACTTTGACTATAAAACTTATATAACTTATATAAACTGTATGTATATTATAGTATAGTATCTAAAAGCCTACAAATTTTTTCAAAATCTAATGGTGTGTATGTGTCACACAAATCTAAAGTAAATTAATATAATAATAATAATGATTATTATTATTATTATTATTCTCCACGACTTTTCTCACTATATATATATATATATAAATTATTACTGTATATATGATATATAACTTTAAACAACAAATAGTTTCATTTTTCCTATAATTTAATGTATAACTCGAATAACTAGTTTTTATATCAAAAAAAATATATATAAACATAAAAATATTTTACACAAACCAAGAGTTATATAATATAATATAATATATATATATATATATATATATATACTGTATGTTTGTGTCAAAAAAAAGTTTTCATTACATTTAAACATTAGAGATGATACACATAAAAATATGATATATATATATGTTTGTGTATTATATACACCGGGAGGGGGTTGTTGGGTGTGTATAGCTTTTTGGTGGACAGATATATATATATAGATACCCATCCCTTAAATACTTTATATTATTGTCTATTATGTCATTGTATTTGTTATAACATTTTATTTTTAATAACTTGTAATAATATTTTAAACTGTCTTAAAATAAATGTTATTTTTAAGAGTTCATAAATATATTATTTAATATATATTTTTGTATATATATATATTATATAATATATACAGTATAAGCAGTTTAAATACCTCTATAGTAATGTATTATAGATATAAAACATATTTTATTAATTTAATTGAAAATTTATTATCATTATTATTATTCAATTTTTTTTGTAACAAATATTCAAAAATTATTGATAATAATATTTTAATTTAAAATATAATTTTTTAAAAGTCTAAAATACAATATATGTATAGAAACAAATTGTTTTATTTTTAAAATAATGTCTAAAATTTCAAGTTTCAATATCAAATAATATCAAATAAATTATTTAGCTATTAGTCATACATAATATTACTAATAATTTATGTATAAAATTATACTATAAATACATTATAATATTGTATTATATTTTTAGTAAATTATATAAAAAATATAATATTTTATATGATATTATTAATTATTTTTTTTAAAAGTATTACAATTCTAGTTAAAAAATAATTTTATTGATTTATTTTTATTAACTAATATATATATATATTCAATTTAGACAAAACAATTGATAAATATATTATTCAAATTTTAAAAATATTATTATATTAACATATTTTACAGTATATCTACAATTGGCAAACATTTTTAAGTGCAAACAATCATTTTTAAAAAAAAACAAATATTAATACATATGAAAAATATTATTATTATAATTGTTATATAAGTAGTATTTCCTTTTTTAGTTGATATGAAAAAGCCTTCATATAATTTATAATATATATATATATATATATATATATATATAAATTAATATTATATTACATTATTTACATTAATATAATAATAATATATTATAGAGTGTATACTATATACTGTATATTATATTTAATATATTTGGTAATAAAAAAACAAATTTCAATTTGCAATAAACTATGGTTTCAAATAATTATTTAATGGATGTCTCTATGGGTTTACTATTTATGTATCATATATTTATGTATTTTGTTTGCTATTTATTTATACAATTATTAAATTATAAAATTTTTAATTGTTTTTTTAAGTCTACTGTTTTTTAATGTGTTATACAATAGTTATTATTGCAAATTATATACACTATATATTAGCAACAAAAATAAATAATATATAAATTTTCTAAATATATTCATCCTTTAATATACAACAATATTTGAAATATAATAATTAGATATTTTTTAACAATTAAAAAAACTTTATAATTGACATAAAATAAGATAATAACTAATACTAAATATAAATTCATAAATTACTGGAAAGTTTTTTTTGTTGGAAATATTTTTGTTTGATAAAATCTATTTTAAATATAAATAATTATTTTTCAATTTATTTAAACAACACAATAGATTTTTTTGATAATATATATATATATATATATATATATATAGTATATATACATTATATATATATATATATATATAAATTGTACCGGGACTCACAATATTTATTTTAATAATAATAATAATAATCTCAATAACTAAACAATTTTAAAATGACATTATCTTAATAAATATAGTGAAATGCATAATACCCACTATATAATAGTTCAAATAGTTTGTATTAATATATATATATATATATATATATTATAACAATTTTAATAATATAATATATAATATCATATACATGTACAGTCAGTTTGTCAATCATAGTATATAAAATAATTGTAAATCAGATTTTAAATACTTTATATAATATTATTACATAATATGCACTGTATATTATATCCATCAAAAAAACTTACCGACAAATCTCTAAATTTTTTAAATTATTATTAATATATTATTTGCATGAATACTAAATACTTGTATTAGAAAAATACTGTATATATATATATATATACAGTAATATAAAATAATTTTGCAAATAATAATAAAATAAAACTTTTTTTTAACTTTATATTGAACACCGATATATCAATATATGTGAAATAGGTTTTTATAATTATTAAAAAAATAAGATAACAATTAAATAATATAATATTGAGTATTATTAGTATATCAAATAATATAATTTTTCCACTTGTTTTACAAAAATCAAAAATTTATTATTGATAGGGGTAATCATTGAAACCACTTGACCCTCCCTCTCAAGTATATCAAATTATTTAAAAAAACAAGTGTAAATTACATAACATAGTTGAAAATAATTTTTTAAAAAATAAATAAATGCATAATATTTATGCATATTATTTATTTTTAAAAATTTTTCATAAATTAATTATTTCTACAAAATAAATAAATAAATAATTCAAAAAAAAACTTTAAATATTATACTTATATTATACTTTTTTTTATTGTGTTAAATAAATAGTTGAAAAAAATTGATTTATTTCAATTGTTTCTATAATAATCTATTTATCAAATATTTGCACAACTGATAAAAGTTTTAATTTAAGTGTCAAAAATATTTTCTAATATATATATATTATTATTATTATTATTATTATTATTATAATATACTGTATATGAGTACTAAAATTAGATTATTAGTTGTCAATAAAATGTCTCTCAAAAAAAAAAATTATTAATACTAATAATCGTATTAACAAAAATAAAATTGTGTTATCAAACAAAAAATAAAATTAAATAAAATAAACCGATAAAATAATATCTGTATATAAAGTATTTAATGTAATCAAACAACAAATATATGGGAGATATTAGTCACTATAAAAAGCGCTGACTGTCTATTAAATCAGTCATTATATTAAGTGTTTATTTCCAACTATATTGTTGGTAAATAATAATTAATATATAAATAAATGGCACTTATTTTGCGCGCACTGGTATGCCTGGTGGTGGTAGGCCTGGCGGCCAGTCGACCACCACAGCAACAGTCACCACCATCATCAGCACCGTTAGGCTGCGACAATGCCCACTGCAATCGATACGATCCGAAAAAACTCAATGTCCATCTTGTCCCGCATACTCACGACGATGTCGGTTGGCTGAAGACAGTCGACCAATATTTTTGGGGATCCCGTACGGACATCCAGAAAGCGGGTGTCCAGTATATCATCGATTCGGTGGTACAATCTCTACAGCAAAATCCCGATCGCAAGTTCATCTATGTTGAGACAGCCTTTTTCTGGATGTGGTGGAAATTGCAGTCACCGCAGACACAGACCCGTGTCAAACAGCTGGTCAATGACGGTATGTATTTTATTTTTTACCCCCCCCCTCCACCCACTCCGATTTTTTGTATGTTTGTTTAATTTATATTTAAGAAACTATATATTAAGTTATATATTGATTATTAAATAATAGTAGTATTGATAATACTGTAATAATACAGATACAGAAAAAAATAGTTAGTTTAGTAAATAGTTAGATAATTAATTAATTTAAAAAAAATAATATTGACTTAATATTGTATCCAACATATTATATATATATAATTAGTTAATATTAATTAAAATTATTAGTTACAGATATATCATAGTATTTATTGTTAATAATTATTAGTACAGTATTTTTTCCACCCAAACAATTAAATATATATATATATATATATATTAATTTATTATTAGTTTATTACTGTTTAATAGTACACTACTGTATAAATACTGTAGTTTTATTTTAGTTAGTAATTTGTTTTATAATAATAGCAATAATAATAATAAATCTCATTATTTGATCAGTGTCAATTAGTTTTCAATAGTTGATACAAGCAACAAAAAATTACTAATATTTAACTTTAACTAAGCAACAAAAAATTTTTATTAAAAAATTATTATTATTATTATTATCATATGATTCAGTTGATATCATTTATATTTATATAAACAAATTTTCAATAATCATAGTGTATATGAAAATTATGAAAAAAATAAATAAATAAAAAGATAACAAACATTATCTAATGTTAAGCATTGAAAATATATTGATGTAATGATAATAATAACTTTTGATTAGTTTAATAAATATTTATTTTAGATTTAAATATTAAAAAATAAAACTATTATTTTTTGATAGTAAAATCCTTATAATAAAAACTATAAGATACTAAATAAATTAAATAATATATTTAAAAAAAATTAAAATAATTATTTTTATTAATTTAGATATTAAAAAATTAAATCATATTAAATATCAAATTAAACAAACATATAATTAATTAAATATGTTCAATTATTTTAAAACGCATATAATAATAATAATAAAACCATATATCGCGCACCTGTAGGTCAACTAGAGTTTATCAACGGTGGCTGGTCGATGAACGATGAGGCGGCCGCACACTACCAGTCCATTGTCGACCAGATGACCTGGGGTCATCGGCGCTTGCAGGATCAGTTTGGCCAGTGTGGCGTACCCCGAATTGGCTGGCAAATCGATCCGTTCGGCCATAGCCGCGAACAGGCCAACCTGTTCGCCCAAATGGGTTTCGACGGGTTTTTCTTTGCCCGATTGGACTACGCGGACAAAACTAAACGCGAAAAAGATCGGTCAATGGAATTGGTTTGGTTGGGTAGCGATGATTTGGGAAATGTTTCCGATATATTTACACACGCTATGGAAATGGGATACGGTATGTATGTGTGTGTGTGGGAGGGATGGGTGGGTTAGAGGACGGGAGGGGGTGTGCGAGTAAACAGTTAGATAGGCTGGGGTGAGTGGGTTAGAGGACGGGAGGGGGTGTGCGAGTAAACAGCTAGATAGGCTGGGGTGGTTAGGTTAGAGGACGGGAGGAGGGCTGCGAATAAACTGTTAGATCGGCATGTGTTCTGGCACTACAATTATCTCCTCCCCTCCCCCGTTTATAGTTAAATGAACTAGTTTATAATAATTTTTTAATTGATTTTTTTTATTAAAAAATTAAATAATGATAGTTGATAGCGAGAAAAAAATGTATAAACTTATATATGTATAACTACTACTAATAACCTACCAGTCCAGCCAACATATAGTTAGGTTGGGGTGGGTGGGGAGGTAGGGTTACAACTTATATACCAAATACTTATTGATTGATGATAATTGCAGGTCCGCCGCCCGGTTTCAACTGGGATTTGGCCAACGGTGGCGGCGACGAACCGTTTATCGACGACCCAGAATCGGAGGACTACAATGTCGATCGTATAGTCGACCGATTTGTCAAATATGCTAAATCCTATTCGCAAGTCTATCCGACCAACAATGTACTGTTCCCGATGGGTACCGATTTTTACTATCAGGACGCGAATATGTGGTTCAAAAATATGGATAAACTAATCAAATATGTAAACACCCGACAATCGGAAGTCAATGTATTTTACTCGACACCCACCTGTTATCTACACGGTGTACAACTGGCCAATCGGACATTTACCACCAAACGGGACGATTTTTTCCCGTACGCATCCGATGAACATAGCTATTGGACCGGCTATTTCACTAGTCGACCGGCCATTAAGCGGTACGAAAAAGTTGGTAACAATTTCCTCCAGGTATGCAAACAGCTGGACGTCCTATCGGGTGGTAACGGTGCCAACGAGGATAAGGTTAGCGGACTACGCGAATGGATGGGCGTTATGCAACATCACGATGCCGTTTCGGGTACCGAAAAACAACACGTGGCCAACAATTATGCACTGAAATTGTATAAAAATATTGAAAAATGTCAACAAGTAGTTAATAAATCGTTGAACGTATTGATTGGCGGCCAGACAGTTGTCGACCAATTGTTTTGCAATCAGCTGAATGTATCGGCCTGTCCACTGACCGAAGGTCGCGACCAATTGGCTGTTACACTGTATAATCCGTTTGGCCGATGGATGACACACAAGATTCGGCTGCCGGTAACCCATAAAAACTATGAGGTCCTCCATCCGACCGGCAAAATACAATGGTCTACAGTGGTTCCCATTGCACCCGAAGTCCTGGCCCTTAAGGAACGAGTATCGAAAGCTACCGACGAATTGGTGTTCGAGGCCAATGCGCCGCCGCTCGGCTACAATACCTATATATTGAGATTGAAGACCAACAACAACGATGACAACGATAGCCAACAGCAGCAGCCGGAAGAGCCGACTGTAACGAAAATTACCGACAAATTGTCAGTCAAATCACTGAGCAATACGATTATGTTTGATAATACCGGTGCTCTGAGTGCCGTACAGTTGGCTAACGGAAAGGTTGTCGATTTGAAACAAAAGTTTGAGTTTTATAAAGCAAAACCCGGCGACAACAAAGGTGCCGATCATCGGGCATCGGGTGCTTACATCATGCGTACCGATGGCCAGACACCTGAACTATATAAGACACCCGTGACCTCCGAACTGGTCAATACGTCCAACTTTGTCGAAGTTCGCCAACGAGTTACCGACTATGTCTGGCAAGTGATCCGCATTTGGCGCGATTCGGATGCCCTGGAGTTTGACTACGTTGTCGGTCCGATACCCGTCGACGATAAAGTAGGCAAAGAAATCATATCCCGTTGGGAAACCAATTTGACTACCAGTTCGCTGGTCTATACGGATGCCAATGGCCGACAAATGTTGGAACGTCGGCGTGACTTCAGGCCAACTTGGAATATGTCCGTAACGGAGGAAGTGGCCGAAAATTACTATCCGGTTAACTCGCGTATAGCCATCCGCGATGTCAAACAAGACTTGCAGATGACTGTACTGAACGATCGATCGCAAGGCGGCGCCAGTCTTAAGGACGGTTCACTGGAACTGATGGTTCATCGGCGCGATCTATACGACGATGCGTTCGGTGTCGGCGAAGCACTGAACGAACCGGGAGTCGACGGCAAAGGACTGGTAATTAGGGGGAAATTTTGGCTGCTGTTGACCAGTTTGGCCGATGCGGCCGACGCGCACCGTGATCTGGCACAACGTATACTATCCGAACCGTCCTTGACGTTCGGTAAACTCGGATCAACGACTCCCGAAGATTATCTGAAAAAACACAAGTGTCAGTATACGGGTCTGGCGAAAGAGTTACCGAAAAATGTCCATTTGTTGACTGTTGAACAATGGAAAGATAGTCAACTGTTGGTACGTCTGGAACACTACTATCAGACCAATGAATCCCGACAACTGTCCAAACCGGTAACGGTTTCGCTCAGGGATATGTTTGCACAGTTTACGGTTACCGAAGCTCGGGAGACAACACTGACCGGTACGTTGGATGTAAAAGCATTGGATCAGCGATTGAAATGGAGGACCAGTGACGGCGATAGAGATGGCGGTCGATATGAGCCGAATCGGGTAGCGTTTGATCCGACAGATTTGACCGTAACGTTGAATCCGATGGAAATTCGGACATTTATTGTCAAAACAAAGTCCCGATAATTATTCAATAATTAATTAGTAATAATACTAATATTAATACTAATAATACTAATAATTATTATTATTATTCCCATTATATGATAAAAATTATTGTGTATTAATAATACATTTAATTATTTGTTTTAAATGTTTATAATAATTTGTATATTAAATTTGATTTAACAATTTTTTGTGTTTAAAAATATATTTTTTTAAAAGTAAAAAACAAAATTTGTAAAAATAAATATTAAATATTAAAAAATTGATTATTAATTCACATTATACTGATACTGTATTTTTTAATAATAATAATAATTTAATCTAATTAATACTAATATTATAATTTTTATTAAATAAAAAAATCTATAAAAATAATTATATATTATTATATATACAGTATTATTAAAAATAATTATTTTTATAGATTTTTAAAAAATTATTAGAAAGTGTTGTCTCTGATGTTTAAAAATTATTAAATTACTATACAAATTTAGGTTAGGTTGGATAAATTTAGGTTAGGTTGGATAAATTTAGGTTAGGTTAGGCTTGATAAATTTAGGATAGGCTTGCTTCGATAAATTTAGGTTAGGTTCAATAAATTTAGGTTAGGTTTGATAAATTTAGGATAGGCTTGCTTCGATAAATTTAGGTTAGGTTCAATAAATTTAGGTTAGGTTCGATAAATTTAGGTTAGGTTCGATAAATTTAGGTTAGGTTTGATAAATTTAGGTTAGGTTTGATAAATTTAGGTTAGGTTCGATAAATTTAGGTTAGGTTTGATAAATTTAGGTTAGGTTCGATAAATTTAGGTTAGGTTTGATAAATTTAGGTTAGGTTTGATAAATTTAGGTTAGGTTTGATAAATTTAGGTTAGGTTTAATAAATTTAGGTTAGGTTAGGTTAGATAAATTTAGGTTACGTTGGGTTTATGTATATCAACGTAATTTATGTATATCAACGTAATTTATGTACTTAACATAATTTATATATATCAACGTAATTTGTTTATACCAACGTAATTTATTTACATTAACGTAATTTGTTTATACCAACGTAATTTATATACATCAACGTAATTTGTTTATACTAACGTAATTTATTTTCATTAACGTAATTTTTTATATCAACGTAATTTATATACATCAACGTAATTTGTTTATACCAACGTAATTTATTTACATTAACGTAATTTTTTTATACCAACGTAATTTATATACATCAACGTAATTTGTTTATACCAACGTAATTTATTTACATTAACGTAATTTGTTTATTCCAACGTAATTTATTTACATTAATATAATTTGTTTATATCAACGTAATTTATTTACATTAACGTAATTTGTTTATACCAACGTAATTTATTTACATTAACGTAATTTGTTTATACCAACGTAATTTATATACATCAACGTAATTTGTTTATACCAACGTAATTTATTTACATTAACGTAATTTGTTTATACCAACGTAATTTATATACATCAACGTAATTTGTTTATACCAACGTAATTTATGTACATCGACGTAATTTGTTTATATCTACGTAATTTAAACATTTAAATTAATTTAGTAGATAATATAGACATTTACTATAAAGTAATTATTTAGTTAATTATTTTTAAATTATTTACTTTATAACGTTTAAGTAATTACTTATTTAAATTTTCTTATTTATGATTCAGTATATTTTACTATAAGTTATATATATTGTCTATTTCTCTAAATACTACTGTATATACTACTTAATATTAAAAAATAATGTAATTCAAGAAAATATAGATTAAAAATTAATTATTTAGTATTTTACATTATTTTAGACTGTGTTAACTGTATGTTAGATAATATAAAATTATTTATTTTTACATTAAAAATATTTAATATTTTATTAATGTTTATTTTTCGTTTTGTGTATTACTCTACTGTATATTTCAATAAAATAAATCATAAATAATTGTCCATGATGCAATCCTGGAAAATTGTAATTTTTTAGACTATCTCACTTGTAAATAGTATTAAGTTTTCAATTTATTACATAATAATATCAAACGTTATTACTGTCTCTGAAAATATTGTATTCATTGAATGTATTGTTAATGTTAGAGTTTATTGGGTACCAAATCATCGCTGTATTGACTGTATTGACAATACATACTATATGTACGACAAACGGTGCCGATCATCGGGCATCGGGTGCGTACATCATGCGTACCGATGGCCAGATACCTGTGACCTCCGAACTGGTCAATACATCCAACTTTGTCGAAGTTCGCCAACGAGTTACCGATTATGTCTGGCAAGTGATCCGCATTTGGCGCGATTCGGATGCCCTGGAGTTTGACTACGTTGTCGGTCCGATACCTGTCGACGATAAAGTAGGCAAAGAAATCATATCCCGTTGGGAAACCAATTTGACTACCAGTTCGCTGGTCTATACGGATGCCAACGGCCGACAAATGTTGGAACGTCGGCGCGATTTCAGGCCAACTTGGAATATGTCGGTAACGGAGGAAGTGGCCGAAAATTACTATCCGGTTAACTCGCGTATAGCCATACGTGATGTCAAACAAGACTTGCAGATGACTGTCCTCAACGATCGATCGCAAGGCGGCGCCAGTCTTAAGGACGGTTCGCTCGAACTGATGGTTCATCGGCGCGATCTATACGACGATGCGTTCGGTGTCGGCGAAGCACTGAACGAACCGGGAGTCGACGGCAAAGGACTGGTAATTAGGGGGAAATTTTGGCTGCTGTTGACCAGTTTGGCCGATGCGGCCGACGCGCACCGTGATCTGGCACAACGTATACTATCCGAACCGTCCTTGACGTTCGGTAAACTCGGATCAACGACTCCCGAAGATTATCTGAAAAAACACAAGTGTCAGTATACGGGTCTGGCGAAAGAGTTACCGAAAAATGTCCATTTGTTGACTGTTGAACAATGGAAAGATAGTCAACTGTTGGTACGTCTGGAACACTACTATCAGACTAATGAATCCCGACAACTGTCCAAACCGGTAACGGTTTCGCTCAGGGATATGTTTGCACAGTTTACGGTTACCGAAGCTCGGGAGACAACACTGACCGGTACGTTGGATGTTAAAGCATTGGATCAGCGATTGAAATGGAGGACCAGTGACGGCGATAGAGATGGCGGTCGATATGAGCCGAATCGGGTAGCGTTTGATCCGACAGATTTGACCGTAACGTTGAATCCGATGGAAATTCGGACATTTATTGTCAAAACAAAGTCCCGATAATTATTCAATAATTAATTAGTAATAATACTAATAATAATAATAATTATTATTATTCCCATTATATGATAAAAATTATTGTGTATTAATAATACATTTAATTATTTGTTTTAAATGTTTATAATAATTTGTATATTAAATTTGATTTAACAATTTTTTGTGTTTAAAAATATATTTTTTTAAAAGTAAAAAAACAAAATTTGTAAAAATAAATATTAAATATTAAAAAATTGATTATTAATTCACATTATACAGATACTGTATTTTTTTAATAATAATAATAATTTAATCTAATTAATACTAATATTATAATTTTTATTAAATAAAAAAATCTATAAAAATAATTATATATTATTATATATACAGTATTATTAAAAATAATTATTTTTATAGATTTTTAAAAAATTATTAGAAAGTGTTGTCTCTGATGTTTAAAAATTATTAAATTACTATACAAATTTAGGTTAGGTTGGATAAATTTAGGTTAGGTTAGGCTTGATAAATTTAGGATAGGCTTGCTTCGATAAATTTAGGTTAGGTTCAATAAATTTAGGTTAGGTTTGATAAATTTAGGATAGGCTTGCTTCGATAAATTTAGGTTAGGTTCAATAAATTTAGGTTAGGTTCGATAAATTTAGGTTAGGTTCGATAAATTTAGGTTAGGTTTGATAAATTTAGGTTAGGTTTGATAAATTTAGGTTAGGTTCGATAAATTTAGGTTAGGTTTGATAAATTTAGGTTAGGTTTGATAAATTTAGGTTAGGTTTGATAAATTTAGGTTAGGTTTAATAAATTTAGGTTAGGTTAGGTTAGATAAATTTAGGTTACGTTGGGTTTATGTATATCAACGTAATTTATTTACATTATATATATCGTAATTTGTTTATACCAACGTAATTTATATACATCAACGTAATTTGTTTATACTAACGTAATTTATTTTCATTAACGTAATTTTTTATATCAACGTAATTTATATACATCAACGTAATTTGTTTATACCAACGTAATTTATTTACATTAACGTAATTTTTTTATACCAACGTAATTTATATACATCAACGTAATTTGTTTATACCAACGTAATTTATTTACATTAACGTAATTTGTTTATTCCAACGTAATTTATTTACATTAATATAATTTGTTTATATCAACGTAATTTATTTACATTAACGTAATTTGTTTATACCAACGTAATTTATTTACATTAACGTAATTTGTTTATACCAACGTAATTTATATACATCAACGTAATTTGTTTATACCAACGTAATTTATTTACATTAACGTAATTTGTTTATACCAACGTAATTTATATACATCAACGTAATTTGTTTATACCAACGTAATTTATGTACATCGACGTAATTTGTTTATATCTACGTAATTTAAACATTTAAATTAATTTAGTAGATAATATAGACATTTACTATAAAGTAATTATTTAGTTAATTATTTTTAAATTATTTACTTTATAACGTTTAAGTAATTACTTATTTAAATTTTCTTATTTATGATTCAGTATATTTTACTATAAGTTATATATATTGTCTATTTCTCTAAATACTACTGTATATACTACTTAATATTAAAAAATAATGTAATTCAAGAAAATATAGATTAAAAATTAATTATTTAGTATTTTACATTATTTTAGACTGTGTTAACTGTATGTTAGATAATATAAAATTATTTATTTTTACATTAAAAATATTTAATATTTTATTAATGTTTATTTTTCGTTTTGTGTATTACTCTACTGTATATTTCAATAAAATAAATCATAAATAATTGTCCATGATGCAATCCTGGAAAATTGTAATTTTTTAGACTAAATCTCACTTGTAAATAGTATTAAGTTTTCAATTTATTACATAATATATCAAACGTTATTACTGTCTCTGAAAATATTGTATTCATTGAATGTATTGTTAATGTTAGAGTTTATTGGGTACCAAATCATCGCTGTATTGACTGTATTGACAATACATACTATATGTACGACAAACGGTGCCGATCATCGGGCATCGGGTGCGTACATCATGCGTACCGATGGCCAGACACCTGAACTATATAAGACACCCGTGACCTCCGAACTGGTCAATACATCCAACTTTGTCGAAGTTCGCCAACGAGTTACCGATTATGTCTGGCAAGTGATCCGCATTTGGCGCGATTCGGATGCCCTGGAGTTTGACTACGTTGTCGGTCCGATACCTGTCGACGATAAAGTAGGCAAAGAAATCATATCCCGTTGGGAAACCAATTTGACTACCAGTTCGCTGGTCTATACGGATGCCAACGGCCGACAAATGTTGGAACGTCGGCGCGATTTCAGGCCAACTTGGAATATGTCGGTAACGGAGGAAGTGGCCGAAAATTACTATCCGGTTAACTCGCGTATAGCCATACGTGATGTCAAACAAGACTTGCAGATGACTGTCCTCAACGATCGATCGCAAGGCGGCGCCAGTCTTAAGGACGGTTCGCTCGAACTGATGGTTCATCGGCGCGATCTATACGACGATGCGTTCGGTGTCGGCGAAGCACTGAACGAACCGGGAGTCGACGGCAAAGGACTGGTAATTAGGGGGAAATTTTGGCTGCTGTTGACCAGTTTGGCCGATGCGGCCGACGCGCACCGTGATCTGGCACAACGTATACTATCCGAACCGTCCTTGACGTTCGGTAAACTCGGATCAACGACTCCCGAAGATTATCTGAAAAAACACAAGTGTCAGTATACGGGTCTGGCGAAAGAGTTACCGAAAAATGTCCATTTGTTGACTGTTGAACAATGGAAAGATAGTCAACTGTTGGTACGTCTGGAACACTACTATCAGACTAATGAATCCCGACAACTGTCCAAACCGGTAACGGTTTCGCTCAGGGATATGTTTGCACAGTTTACGGTTACCGAAGCTCGGGAGACAACACTGACCGGTACGTTGGATGTTAAAGCATTGGATCAGCGATTGAAATGGAGGACCAGTGACGGCGATAGAGATGGCGGTCGATATGAGCCGAATCGGGTAGCGTTTGATCCGACAGATTTGACCGTAACGTTGAATCCGATGGAAATTCGGACATTTATTGTCAAAACAAAGTCCCGATAATTATTCAATAATTAATTAGTAATAATACTAATAATAATAATAATTATTATTATTCCCATTATATGATAAAAATTATTGTGTATTAATAATACATTTAATTATTTGTTTTAAATGTTTATAATAATTTGTATATTAAATTTGATTTAACAATTTTTTGTGTTTAAAAATATATTTTTTTAAAAGTAAAAAAACAAAATTTGTAAAAATAAATATTAAATATTAAAAAATTGATTATTAATTCACATTATACAGATACTGTATTTTTTTAATAATAATAATAATTTAATCTAATTAATACTAATATTATAATTTTTATTAAATAAAAAAATCTATAAAAATAATTATATATTATTATATATACAGTATTATTAAAAATAATTATTTTTATAGATTTTTAAAAAATTATTAGAAAGTGTTGTCTCTGATGTTTAAAAATTATTAAATTACTATACAAATTTAGGTTAGGTTGGATAAATTTAGGTTAGGTTAGGCTTGATAAATTTAGGATAGGCTTGCTTCGATAAATTTAGGTTAGGTTCAATAAATTTAGGTTAGGTTTGATAAATTTAGGATAGGCTTGCTTCGATAAATTTAGGTTAGGTTCAATAAATTTAGGTTAGGTTCGATAAATTTAGGTTAGGTTCGATAAATTTAGGTTAGGTTTGATAAATTTAGGTTAGGTTTGATAAATTTAGGTTAGGTTCGATAAATTTAGGTTAGGTTTGATAAATTTAGGTTAGGTTTGATAAATTTAGGTTAGGTTTGATAAATTTAGGTTAGGTTTAATAAATTTAGGTTAGGTTAGGTTAGATAAATTTAGGTTACGTTGGGTTTATGTATATCAACGTAATTTATTTACATTAACGTAATTTGTTTATACCAACGTAATTTATATACATCAACGTAATTTGTTTATACTAACGTAATTTATTTTCATTAACGTAATTTTTTATATCAACGTAATTTATATACATCAACGTAATTTGTTTATACCAACGTAATTTATTTACATTAACGTAATTTTTTTATACCAACGTAATTTATATACATCAACGTAATTTGTTTATACCAACGTAATTTATTTACATTAACGTAATTTGTTTATTCCAACGTAATTTATTTACATTAATATAATTTGTTTATATCAACGTAATTTATTTACATTAACGTAATTTGTTTATACCAACGTAATTTATTTACATTAACGTAATTTGTTTATACCAACGTAATTTATATACATCAACGTAATTTGTTTATACCAACGTAATTTATTTACATTAACGTAATTTGTTTATACCAACGTAATTTATATACATCAACGTAATTTGTTTATACCAACGTAATTTATGTACATCGACGTAATTTGTTTATATCTACGTAATTTAAACATTTAAATTAATTTAGTAGATAATATAGACATTTACTATAAAGTAATTATTTAGTTAATTATTTTTAAATTATTTACTTTATAACGTTTAAGTAATTACTTATTTAAATTTTCTTATTTATGATTCAGTATATTTTACTATAAGTTATATATATTGTCTATTTCTCTAAATACTACTGTATATACTACTTAATATTAAAAAATAATGTAATTCAAGAAAATATAGATTAAAAATTAATTATTTAGTATTTTACATTATTTTAGACTGTGTTAACTGTATGTTAGATAATATAAAATTATTTATTTTTACATTAAAAATATTTAATATTTTATTAATGTTTATTTTTCGTTTTGTGTATTACTCTACTGTATATTTCAATAAAATAAATCATAAATAATTGTCCATGATGCAACCCTGGAAAATTGAAATTTTTTAGACTTGTAAATAAAATCTCACTTGTAAATAGTACTAAGTTTTCAATTTATTACATAATCATTGTAAACGTTATTACTGTCTCTGAAAATATCTTATTGTTTGAATGTATTGTTAATTATATGGTTTATTGGGTACCAAATCATCGCTATTGACTGTATTGACAATACATACTATATGTACGACAAACGGTGCCGATCATCGGGCATCGGGTGCGTACATCATGCGTACCGATGGCCAGACACCTGAACTATATAAGACACCCGTGACCTCCGAACTGGTCAATACATCCAACTTTGTCGAAGTTCGCCAACGAGTTACCGATTATGTCTGGCAAGTGATCCGCATTTGGCGCGATTCGGATGCCCTGGAGTTTGACTACGTTGTCGGTCCTGGTCCTTAAGGAACGAGTATCGAAAGCTACCGACGAATTGGTGTTCGAGGCCAATGCGCCGCCGCTCGGCTACAATACCTATATATTGAGATTGAAGACCAACAACAACGATGACAACGATAGCCAACAGCAGCAGCCGGAAGAGCCGACTGTAACGAAAATTACCGACAAATTGTCAGTCAAATCACTGAGCAATACGATTATGTTTGATAATACCGGTGCTCTGAGTGCCGTACAGTTGGCTAACGGAAAGGTTGTCGATTTGAAACAAAAGTTTGAGTTTTATAAAGCAAAACCCGGCGACAACAAAGGTGCCGATCATCGGGCATCGGGTGCTTACATCATGCGTACCGATGGCCAGACACCTGAACTATATAAGACACCCGTGACCTCCGAACTGGTCAATACGTCCAACTTTGTCGAAGTTCGCCAACGAGTTACCGACTATGTCTGGCAAGTGATCCGCATTTGGCGCGATTCGGATGCCCTGGAGTTTGACTACGTTGTCGGTCCGATACCCGTCGACGATAAAGTAGGCAAAGAAATCATATCCCGTTGGGAAACCAATTTGACTACCAGTTCGCTGGTCTATACGGATGCCAATGGCCGACAAATGTTGGAACGTCGGCGTGACTTCAGGCCAACTTGGAATATGTCCGTAACGGAGGAAGTGGCCGAAAATTACTATCCGGTTAACTCGCGTATAGCCATCCGCGATGTCAAACAAGACTTGCAGATGACTGTACTGAACGATCGATCGCAAGGCGGCGCCAGTCTTAAGGACGGTTCACTGGAACTGATGGTTCATCGGCGCGATCTATACGACGATGCGTTCGGTGTCGGCGAAGCACTGAACGAACCGGGAGTCGACGGCAAAGGACTGGTAATTAGGGGGAAATTTTGGCTGCTGTTGACCAGTTTGGCCGATGCGGCCGACGCGCACCGTGATCTGGCACAACGTATACTATCCGAACCGTCCTTGACGTTCGGTAAACTCGGATCAACGACTCCCGAAGATTATCTGAAAAAACACAAGTGTCAGTATACGGGTCTGGCGAAAGAGTTACCGAAAAATGTCCATTTGTTGACTGTTGAACAATGGAAAGATAGTCAACTGTTGGTACGTCTGGAACACTACTATCAGACCAATGAATCCCGACAACTGTCCAAACCGGTAACGGTTTCGCTCAGGGATATGTTTGCACAGTTTACGGTTACCGAAGCTCGGGAGACAACACTGACCGGTACGTTGGATGTAAAAGCATTGGATCAGCGATTGAAATGGAGGACCAGTGACGGCGATAGAGATGGCGGTCGATATGAGCCGAATCGGGTAGCGTTTGATCCGACAGATTTGACCGTAACGTTGAATCCGATGGAAATTCGGACATTTATTGTCAAAACAAAGTCCCGATAATTATTCAATAATTAATTAGTAATAATACTAATATTAATACTAATAATACTAATAATTATTATTATTATTCCCATTATATGATAAAAATTATTGTGTATTAATAATACATTTAATTATTTGTTTTAAATGTTTATAATAATTTGTATATTAAATTTGATTTAACAATTTTTTGTGTTTAAAAATATATTTTTTTAAAAGTAAAAAACAAAATTTGTAAAAATAAATATTAAATATTAAAAAATTGATTATTAATTCACATTATACTGATACTGTATTTTTTAATAATAATAATAATTTAATCTAATTAATACTAATATTATAATTTTTATTAAATAAAAAAATCTATAAAAATAATTATATATTATTATATATACAGTATTATTAAAAATAATTATTTTTATAGATTTTTAAAAAATTATTAGAAAGTGTTGTCTCTGATGTTTAAAAATTATTAAATTACTATACAAATTTAGGTTAGGTTGGATAAATTTAGGTTAGGTTGGATAAATTTAGGTTAGGTTAGGCTTGATAAATTTAGGATAGGCTTGCTTCGATAAATTTAGGTTAGGTTCAATAAATTTAGGTTAGGTTTGATAAATTTAGGATAGGCTTGCTTCGATAAATTTAGGTTAGGTTCAATAAATTTAGGTTAGGTTCGATAAATTTAGGTTAGGTTCGATAAATTTAGGTTAGGTTTGATAAATTTAGGTTAGGTTTGATAAATTTAGGTTAGGTTCGATAAATTTAGGTTAGGTTTGATAAATTTAGGTTAGGTTCGATAAATTTAGGTTAGGTTTGATAAATTTAGGTTAGGTTTGATAAATTTAGGTTAGGTTTGATAAATTTAGGTTAGGTTTAATAAATTTAGGTTAGGTTAGGTTAGATAAATTTAGGTTACGTTGGGTTTATGTATATCAACGTAATTTATGTATATCAACGTAATTTATGTACTTAACATAATTTATATATATCAACGTAATTTGTTTATACCAACGTAATTTATTTACATTAACGTAATTTGTTTATACCAACGTAATTTATATACATCAACGTAATTTGTTTATACTAACGTAATTTATTTTCATTAACGTAATTTTTTATATCAACGTAATTTATATACATCAACGTAATTTGTTTATACCAACGTAATTTATTTACATTAACGTAATTTTTTTATACCAACGTAATTTATATACATCAACGTAATTTGTTTATACCAACGTAATTTATTTACATTAACGTAATTTGTTTATTCCAACGTAATTTATTTACATTAATATAATTTGTTTATATCAACGTAATTTATTTACATTAACGTAATTTGTTTATACCAACGTAATTTATTTACATTAACGTAATTTGTTTATACCAACGTAATTTATATACATCAACGTAATTTGTTTATACCAACGTAATTTATTTACATTAACGTAATTTGTTTATACCAACGTAATTTATATACATCAACGTAATTTGTTTATACCAACGTAATTTATGTACATCGACGTAATTTGTTTATATCTACGTAATTTAAACATTTAAATTAATTTAGTAGATAATATAGACATTTACTATAAAGTAATTATTTAGTTAATTATTTTTAAATTATTTACTTTATAACGTTTAAGTAATTACTTATTTAAATTTTCTTATTTATGATTCAGTATATTTTACTATAAGTTATATATATTGTCTATTTCTCTAAATACTACTGTATATACTACTTAATATTAAAAAATAATGTAATTCAAGAAAATATAGATTAAAAATTAATTATTTAGTATTTTACATTATTTTAGACTGTGTTAACTGTATGTTAGATAATATAAAATTATTTATTTTTACATTAAAAATATTTAATATTTTATTAATGTTTATTTTTCGTTTTGTGTATTACTCTACTGTATATTTCAATAAAATAAATCATAAATAATTGTCCATGATGCAATCCTGGAAAATTGTAATTTTTTAGACTATCTCACTTGTAAATAGTATTAAGTTTTCAATTTATTACATAATAATATCAAACGTTATTACTGTCTCTGAAAATATTGTATTCATTGAATGTATTGTTAATGTTAGAGTTTATTGGGTACCAAATCATCGCTGTATTGACTGTATTGACAATACATACTATATGTACGACAAACGGTGCCGATCATCGGGCATCGGGTGCGTACATCATGCGTACCGATGGCCAGATACCTGTGACCTCCGAACTGGTCAATACATCCAACTTTGTCGAAGTTCGCCAACGAGTTACCGATTATGTCTGGCAAGTGATCCGCATTTGGCGCGATTCGGATGCCCTGGAGTTTGACTACGTTGTCGGTCCGATACCTGTCGACGATAAAGTAGGCAAAGAAATCATATCCCGTTGGGAAACCAATTTGACTACCAGTTCGCTGGTCTATACGGATGCCAACGGCCGACAAATGTTGGAACGTCGGCGCGATTTCAGGCCAACTTGGAATATGTCGGTAACGGAGGAAGTGGCCGAAAATTACTATCCGGTTAACTCGCGTATAGCCATACGTGATGTCAAACAAGACTTGCAGATGACTGTCCTCAACGATCGATCGCAAGGCGGCGCCAGTCTTAAGGACGGTTCGCTCGAACTGATGGTTCATCGGCGCGATCTATACGACGATGCGTTCGGTGTCGGCGAAGCACTGAACGAACCGGGAGTCGACGGCAAAGGACTGGTAATTAGGGGGAAATTTTGGCTGCTGTTGACCAGTTTGGCCGATGCGGCCGACGCGCACCGTGATCTGGCACAACGTATACTATCCGAACCGTCCTTGACGTTCGGTAAACTCGGATCAACGACTCCCGAAGATTATCTGAAAAAACACAAGTGTCAGTATACGGGTCTGGCGAAAGAGTTACCGAAAAATGTCCATTTGTTGACTGTTGAACAATGGAAAGATAGTCAACTGTTGGTACGTCTGGAACACTACTATCAGACTAATGAATCCCGACAACTGTCCAAACCGGTAACGGTTTCGCTCAGGGATATGTTTGCACAGTTTACGGTTACCGAAGCTCGGGAGACAACACTGACCGGTACGTTGGATGTTAAAGCATTGGATCAGCGATTGAAATGGAGGACCAGTGACGGCGATAGAGATGGCGGTCGATATGAGCCGAATCGGGTAGCGTTTGATCCGACAGATTTGACCGTAACGTTGAATCCGATGGAAATTCGGACATTTATTGTCAAAACAAAGTCCCGATAATTATTCAATAATTAATTAGTAATAATACTAATAATAATAATAATTATTATTATTCCCATTATATGATAAAAATTATTGTGTATTAATAATACATTTAATTATTTGTTTTAAATGTTTATAATAATTTGTATATTAAATTTGATTTAACAATTTTTTGTGTTTAAAAATATATTTTTTTTTAAAAGTAAAAAAACAAAATTTGTAAAAATAAATATTAAATATTAAAAAATTGATTATTAATTCACATTATACAGATACTGTATTTTTTTAATAATAATAATAATTTAATCTAATTAATACTAATATTATAATTTTTATTAAATAAAAAAATCTATAAAAATAATTATATATTATTATATATACAGTATTATTAAAAATAATTATTTTTATAGATTTTTAAAAAATTATTAGAAAGTGTTGTCTCTGATGTTTAAAAATTATTAAATTACTATACAAATTTAGGTTAGGTTGGATAAATTTAGGTTAGGTTAGGCTTGATAAATTTAGGATAGGCTTGCTTCGATAAATTTAGGTTAGGTTCAATAAATTTAGGTTAGGTTTGATAAATTTAGGATAGGCTTGCTTCGATAAATTTAGGTTAGGTTCAATAAATTTAGGTTAGGTTCGATAAATTTAGGTTAGGTTCGATAAATTTAGGTTAGGTTTGATAAATTTAGGTTAGGTTTGATAAATTTAGGTTAGGTTCGATAAATTTAGGTTAGGTTTGATAAATTTAGGTTAGGTTTGATAAATTTAGGTTAGGTTTGATAAATTTAGGTTAGGTTTAATAAATTTAGGTTAGGTTAGGTTAGATAAATTTAGGTTACGTTGGGTTTATGTATATCAACGTAATTTATTTACATTAACGTAATTTGTTTATACCAACGTAATTTATATACATCAACGTAATTTGTTTATACTAACGTAATTTATTTTCATTAACGTAATTTTTTATATCAACGTAATTTATATACATCAACGTAATTTGTTTATACCAACGTAATTTATTTACATTAACGTAATTTTTTTATACCAACGTAATTTATATACATCAACGTAATTTGTTTATACCAACGTAATTTATTTACATTAACGTAATTTGTTTATTCCAACGTAATTTATTTACATTAATATAATTTGTTTATATCAACGTAATTTATTTACATTAACGTAATTTGTTTATACCAACGTAATTTATTTACATTAACGTAATTTGTTTATACCAACGTAATTTATATACATCAACGTAATTTGTTTATACCAACGTAATTTATTTACATTAACGTAATTTGTTTATACCAACGTAATTTATATACATCAACGTAATTTGTTTATACCAACGTAATTTATGTACATCGACGTAATTTGTTTATATCTACGTAATTTAAACATTTAAATTAATTTAGTAGATAATATAGACATTTACTATAAAGTAATTATTTAGTTAATTATTTTTAAATTATTTACTTTATAACGTTTAAGTAATTACTTATTTAAATTTTCTTATTTATGATTCAGTATATTTTACTATAAGTTATATATATTGTCTATTTCTCTAAATACTACTGTATATACTACTTAATATTAAAAAATAATGTAATTCAAGAAAATATAGATTAAAAATTAATTATTTAGTATTTTACATTATTTTAGACTGTGTTAACTGTATGTTAGATAATATAAAATTATTTATTTTTACATTAAAAATATTTAATATTTTATTAATGTTTATTTTTCGTTTTGTGTATTACTCTACTGTATATTTCAATAAAATAAATCATAAATAATTGTCCATGATGCAACCCTGGAAAATTGAAATTTTTTAGACTTGTAAATAAAATCTCACTTGTAAATAGTACTAAGTTTTCAATTTATTACATAATCATTGTAAACGTTATTACTGTCTCTGAAAATATCTTATTGTTTGAATGTATTGTTAATTATATGGTTTATTGGGTACCAAATCATCGCTATTGACTGTATTGACAATACATACTATATGTACGACAAACGGTGCCGATCATCGGGCATCGGGTGCGTACATCATGCGTACCGATGGCCAGACACCTGAACTATATAAGACACCCGTGACCTCCGAACTGGTCAATACATCCAACTTTGTCGAAGTTCGCCAACGAGTTACCGATTATGTCTGGCAAGTGATCCGCATTTGGCGCGATTCGGATGCCCTGGAGTTTGACTACGTTGTCGGTCCGATACCTGTCGACGATAAAGTAGGCAAAGAAATCATATCCCGTTGGGAAACCAATTTGACTACCAGTTCGCTGGTCTATACGGATGCCAACGGCCGACAAATGTTGGAACGTCGGCGCGATTTCAGGCCAACTTGGAATATGTCGGTAACGGAGGAAGTGGCCGAAAATTACTATCCGGTTAACTCGCGAATAGCCATCCGCGATGTCAAACAAGACTTGCAGATGACTGTCCTCAACGATCGATCGCAAGGCGGCGCCAGTCTTAAGGACGGTTCGCTCGAACTGATGGTTCATCGGCGCGATCTATACGACGATGCGTTCGGTGTCGGCGAAGCACTGAACGAACCGGGAGTCGACGGCAAAGGACTGGTAATTAGAGGCAAATTTTGGCTACTGTTGACCAGTTTGGCCGATGCGGCCGACGCACACCGTGATCTAGCACAACGTATACTATCCGAACCGTCCTTGACGTTCGGTAAACTCGGATCAACGACTCCCGAAGATTATCTGAAAAAACACAAGTGTCAGTATACGGGTCTGGCGAAAGAGTTACCGAAAAATGTCCATTTGTTGACTGTTGAACAATGGAAAGATAGTCAACTGTTGGTACGTCTGGAACACTACTATCAGACTAATGAATCCCGACAACTGTCCAAACCGGTAACGGTTTCGCTCAGGGATATGTTTGCACAGTTTACGGTTACCGAAGCTCGGGAGACAACACTGACCGGTACGTTGGATGTTAAAGCATTGGATCAGCGATTGAAATGGAGGACCAGTGACGGCGATAGAGATGGCGGTCGATATGAGCCGAATCGGGTAGCGTTTGATCCGACAGATTTGACCGTAACGTTGAATCCGATGGAAATTCGGACATTTATTGTCAAAACAAAGTCCCGATAATTATTCAATAATTAATTAGTAATAATACTAATAATAATAATAATAATAATACTAATAATTATTATTATTATTCCCATTATATGATATCGCAATTAAAAAAAAAAACTGTTGTATTAATAATACAGTTAATTATATTAATGTTTATAATAATTTGTATATTTAACAATTTTTTTTGTGTTTAAAAATATATTTTTTTTAAAAGTAAAAAAACAAAATTTGTAAAAATAAATATTAAATATTAAAAAATTTGATTATTAATTCACACTTAATTGCGATACTTTTTTTTAGTAATTAATTTAATCTAATCTAATTAATATTATAATTTTTATTAAATAGAAAATCTATAAAATTAATTATTATAAAAATTATATAAAAAAAAATTTTTTTGTTTAATAAACTTACATATGTTGTCTCTAAAGTTTTACAATTATTACAACTTATAAATTACAAATAGATTTATCAATTAATTTATTACAGTTTTTTTTAAATAATTTTTTTTATAATATATTAATCTCTAATTCATATATACTATACAATGTATAATTAATATTGAAAATTGTTGAAAATTATTAATATGTTAAATACTTTAGTATTTAAAAAATAATTAAATAAAAAACAATTAAAAAACAATTAAATATTACTATTATTTATTTTTTATATTGATAAAAAGTTTAATATTTAAAAACTTTTTATTAATAATTATCATTAATTTTATGTTGTATGAAAAAAATATTGATAAAATATTGTTTTTTTTATTATAAATATAATTTAATCTTTTAATTCACACAAAACAATCTGTCAATTAATTAACTGAAAAAATATATATAAATAATAAAACATACAATACTAAATTTAATTACTATATAATGAGATAAATACAATTTTAATGACCACTAAATATATATATATATTTAGTATTAAACTATACTATTTAAACCATAATAAATTAATTACATATTAATTAAAAAATATAGTTTATAAATTTAATTAAAACTGGTAACTATATAATGCTAATAATAATTTAATTAACTGCTAGTTAATCTAATAAATTGTTACTATTTATTATATAATAAATTGATTGTCTTTCAATGATAATGTTGTCATGATAATTTATTATTAATTAATTAATTAATTAATTAATTTTATGCAAATCATTGACCCCATCCATACGCCTACACCCAAAATACAATACATTTTTCAAAAAAAAAAAAAATAAAATAAAATAAATAAATAAAACCATAGATAAAACTAGACAAGTGGTCAAACAAAACAAAAAACAATTGGATGACATTTAATCTAATTAATTAGTTTTAACAATTTATTGGTGGGTTTTATTTTTTGTTGTTGTTGTTATTATTGTTTGTTTGTTTGTTTTGACAAAATATATTAAATTATTTATTTGTTTTTTTTTTCACTACATTACAACACAATCTATTACTGTATTTTCGGTATACAATCATCTCTATTGAAATTGAGATGAAAAAAAACTAAACATTTTTTACTATAATAAACAGTAAAAACATATATTATATATTACTCTATTGTATACATTAGAGTCTATAATAATTAATTGATATTTAGATATAACATATTGACATTAGTATATAATATAATATGAACAGTATATAAATAATTGATTTTTTCAATTAGACTAAAAAAATAAAATAAAACTAAAGCTAAATAAAATTTTTAACATACTTTTTGTCGTTTATTTAAAATGTTTAAAATATTTATATATATATATAGTATTATATATTTTATATTATATAAAATTAATTAATTAAATATTTTTACAAATATAATTATCATAGAAAAAATAAAAAATCAATGATTTTGGTTAATTATCTTTTATTATTTACAATTATTTTAATTATAAAAATTTATGTTTATATAAGCAATAATTTGAAGCAATTATAATAAAAATATTCAAAGTATTATTATTATTTTTGTATATCACGGTTGTTCCGGTGTGATCACAGTTGTGTCGGCCACTTTTGGTGGCAGAGACACGACTGGTTAGACTCAACTCAAGTCTAGTACTTTTCTGACTGTTCTACAACTCTGAAGTATCACTGCTTTTTGCATTTCATAGATCTTAATTTTTCTGATTTCCAGTGATTCCAAACTTAGGGCCAGATTTTTCGGTATTACGGCCATTGATGACAGGATTATAGGTATGATTTCAGCTTTCTTAATGCGCCACATCTTATTGATCTCATAGGCCAAGTCTGTATATTTTCGGCGTTTCTCACTATGCGTGTCCTGTAGTTTGTGTGTTAGTGGGACCGCTATGTCTATTATGTACGCCTTATCTTGATGTTTGTCTACTAGTACTATATCTGGACGGTTGTGGGCCACAGTCTTATCTGTTCTTATTTCTTTATCCCAGTAGAGCTTGGCTCTGTTGCTTTCCATTACACTTTGTGGCTCGTATCTATAGTATGGTAATGGTTCTTTGATTAGTCCGAATCTTATTGCCAATTCCTGATGTATGATTTTGGCTACTTGGTTGTGACGGCTTAGGTACTCGGTGTTTGTGAGTACTTTACACCCATTTAGTATATGTTCTATTGTTTCGGACTCCATATGACACATCCTGCACTTGTCTGTTGGTATATTTAGCTTTTGGATGTATTTCTGATGGTTTCGTGTCGGAATCACTCGATCTTGTATTGCCATCATGAACCCCTCTGTCTCTCCATGAAGACCGGCGTACTTCAACCATTTTGTAGACATTTCTTCGTCTACGTGTGTTTGGTTGAGTTCTGCCCGGTATCTTCCGTGAAGTTCTTTTGAGGCCCATGTGTTAATCCTCTCTTTTTCATTTTGTATTTCTATTTGATGTTCATTATTGCTGAGATTTAGAGGTGTGTAGTTGTAATCGAGTGTTGATGTTATTTTGTGGAGCTCTGAGACATTGCATTTTTGTTGATGGTATTTTCTCAGCAATTCTCGCTGTTTGGCTTCAAGGCTTACAATGTTTAGTAACCCTCTACCCCCATGTTTTCTACTAACACATAGTCGTGCTACAGAACTTCTAGGGTGGTGTAGTCCAAACATTGTAAGTTGTCGCCTTATATGTCTTTCAATTGTCTCAAGTTCTGTTTTACTCCATTTTATTATTCCGAACGAGTATGTCAGTACAGGTATAGCCCAAGTGTTTATTGCTTTGAATTTGTTGTTTGAGTTTAGTTGAGATTTTAGTATTTTTATTATTCTTTGGTTTAATGTTTTCTTTATTTCTTCTTTAACTTCTGTCATTTTAGATTTATGCATTTGCTTAATTCCTAAGTACTTATATATATCTCCATTTTCTAGTGCCTTTATATATCCATTTTCAGTTTCGTATTGATTTCTTTCAGAATAGACTCCTCTTTTCAGTTTCATTATAGCACATTTATCTAATCCAAATTCCATATTTATATCATTGGAGAAAGTTTCTGTTGTTTTTAACATTGCATTTAAATCAGATTCTTTTTCGGCGTATAGTTTTAAGTCGTCCATATATAGTAGATGTGTTAGATTATATTTTGTATCACTTGATTTTAGATTTACGCCTTTTAGCTTTTTAAGTAGTGATGACAGTGGGTTTATGGCTAAGCAGAACCACAGAGGACTGAGTGAATCTCCTTGAAATATTCCTCTATTTATTTTGATTTCTGTACTTATTTTTGTTTCATTATTAGTATTGACACACAATTTAGTTTTCCATTTTTTCATCATATTTTCTAATGTGTTTATCAGTGTGTTGTCAATTTTATATAGTTTTAACACTCTTAATAACCATTTATGTGGGACTGAATCGAATGCTTTCTTATAGTCTATGTATGCCATTTCAAGATTTCTATGTTTTTGACGAGCTCTTATTGTTATAATATTGTCTATTGTTAATTGCTCTTTACAGCCCATTGAGTGTTTTATACAGCCTTTTTGTTCTTCAGCTATTATGTTGTTGTTACTTAAATGATTATATATTTTTGTTGATATTATGGATGTTAGGATTTTATACATTGTTGTTAGGCAAGTGATGGGTCTATATTTGCTGGGATCTGATGTATTTTCTGTTTTTGGGAGTAGATATGTTATTCCGGAAGTGAGGAAGTCATCGGTTTGTCCTGTTTTTATTATTTTATCCATTGCTATTGCCATTGGTTGATGTACTGTTGTAAAGTGTTTGTACCAGAAGTTTTGTATTTTGTCTTGTCCTGGGCTTTTCCAATTGTGGGATTTCTTGAGGGCTTCGGTTAAGTCATCTTTAATTATATTTACTGAAGTCATAGGTGGTATTTCTTTATTTTCATCTTCAATATCATTTATCCAATTAGATTCTTTATATTCCTTTGGGTTGCTCCAGATTTCTTTCCAGTAGTTTTCTATTTCATCTATTTGTGGTGTATGGTTAATATTGCTTGAATTTATTTTGTTTTGATTTCTATAGAACATTTTTTCGTTATTATAGAACATTGTATTTTGCTTTCGTCTTTCGCTTTGTTGTTTATATCTTCTGATTCTTTGTGATAGTGCTTGAACTGTTTGTTTTAATGTGTCGTTGTAATTCCGGATAATAGCTTCAAATTCAGGTTTTCCAGGTTTTGTCTGTAATAATCGGTATATATCTTTTAATGATTGGTTAAGTCTTTTTGATTTGTTTCCATTTAACACTTGCGTTATTCTTCCTATTACTTGTCTTTTCCCTTCTATACGTGTCTCTATTCGCTTTTGCCATTTAGGTATTATATTTTCTTGATTTAGTTTTGTAGTTGACATGTGTTGTATTTTGTAGCCTAAGAGTCTCGATACTGCTACTGCTGCACAGTATGTTATTGTATTAATTGTGCTCAACGACATGTTATCTTCGATGTAATCTTTAAGTATATCATTAATTGTTATTATTGTAGATCTTGTTTTTACGCCACTTTTTATTTTTGGTAACTTAGGTCTGAGTTCTATTTCAAAGTCTTTATATTGTTCTAAAGAAGTTTTTAGTTCATTTTCTGCTGTTATTCTATTTATTTCATCATTTGTAT